CCATTTTTTCCCTATATTTTCCAGGTCAAAGATCATTCTTTTTTGGGGGGGAAGGGGCAGAGTAATAAAAAACAAAATAGGGCTGACTAACTCTGCCTTCTCTCCATTATCTGTTATCATTGTTGCACCATGAGTATCAGTCTTATCATTTCTTTGATCCTACTCTTTCTTCCATGTAGCTATAATAACACAGACATGCACAGACTTTTCTGTTGTTGTTACCCTTAGCTTTCCCTACCAACCTCAGCTCATTTTTACTTGTAGCTCTCCGGACACTGTTCTGAGAATTATGTCTCACTTTCTAATTCATCATTCATTACCTGTACTTGCTTCCATCATCTGTCTTTTAAAAATCTAAATTAGATAATAAAATTCCTCTGGAGGAACAAAAAGTACAGAATCTCAAGGGACATAATGAAAAAAAGGAAGAATGAAAGGGTTATAGCATTTGGCCAGACTTCAAATTATATAATAAAGCAGCAATCATAAAAACTACTTAGTACTAGTTAAAAAATAAAAGTAAATCATTGAAGCAAATTAGATGAGCAAGACCAGAAGCAAGTGAAAAACGGTCACCCAGTGTTTGATAAATCCAAGAATATAAAGTACTGAGGGAAGGACTTTTGATTTAACAAGAAGTGCTAGGAAAACTAGAAAGTAGTTAGGTAAAAATTAGGTTTTGGCTGATAATTTACACCAAACACCAAAATAAGATCCAAATGTATATTTGAACTGAACAGAAAAGGTCATATCATCAAAAATATAGAGGAAAACAGATGAAGATACATTTTACAACTATCACTAAATTGTCAGCCAAACAAAGTAGAGTATAGAGGTTATCATAGAAGACAAAATAGGAAGTTTCAATTACATCAAATTTAAAAACTTTTGCATGAATAAAAACAATGCAGAGAGAATGACAGAAAGTATCCAGGGGAGAAATCAAATATCATTAATAAAAGTATGATATCTGAGATACACATGGAACTGTGTAAATATATAAGACCAAGAGCTATTCCCCCAGTATCAGAGTTCTGAAAGGAAATGAGCAATTTTTAAAGGGGGAATTGAAACTATAAATGACTATATGAAAACATGCTCCAAACCAGTATTAATTTTAAAATGCCAACCAAAATAACTCTGAGATTTTACCCCACACTCTGAAAATTGGCAGAGTTGATCAAAAGCAGAAATAGTCAATATTAGCAGGGTTATGGAAAATAAGCTCATTGATGCATTGTTGATGGAGCTGTAAATTGGCTGGATGATTCTAGATATATACATTTGGAATTATGTAAGAAAAGAAACGAAACTGTTCATGCCTTTTGACCCAGCAATCCTACTCTTTTATACCCAGGGAAGTCAAGGATAATAACAAAGGTCCAATATACGCTGAAATATGCATAGTAGAACTTTTTCTGGTAACAAAAAGAAAGTGTATACTCATCAACTCAAGAATGGTTGAATTAAATGTGCAGTAAAAAATTACAAATATGAAGAATTCAGGGAAACATGGAAATGCTCATATGAACTTATATAGACTTACATTGAAGAGGGAAATAAGCAGAAGCAGGAGAAAAAGATATGGAATGATTACAATATAAATGAAAAGGCCATTCAAAGGAACCTTAACTTAGAGCAATTCAAAAACAAATAATGGTCCCAGAAAAAAAAAACAAAACAAAATAAAACATAGCTCTCTCCTCTTGGCTGAGAGGACCCAGAGCCATAAGGGCAAGACAATGCATATATTTTCAGATGTAATCATTTTATCAGCAATTTCTACACATTTCTATTTGTTATAATAGAAGTTCATTTCTGAAGGATCAAAATATTTCCAGAATGACTGTGACATAAAAACAAAAAAAGTATTACTGAAACACTTTTAAAACAAATCTTATTTGATTCTTAAGTTCTTAAACAACTCCCCTTTTGTTCCTCATAAGAGTTGTTACTCTTTGCATCTAGAATTTTATTCTTGAGGGCTGTACATCACTTCTGGCCAGCTCCTCCTGTAGAATTTTAGTCCCTGAGATCTTTCCCATGTTTTCTCTGAGTCCCTTGAAATCTAGTCTCCCAAAATCTAGAGTACGTGTTAGATCACGTTTGGCTTTTCTCTTCTCTAATACAGATTCTAAGATGGAGCAGCTATTTGCCCCCAAAGTTCCCATCATTTTCACCCCAGCAAACAGTTCCCCCTGAATTAGATCCAAAATATTGTTTTCTCTATCTTTTGAAGAGTGTAATTATAATTAAAGCAATCAAAGAAATTGTTAGAAGCTTCAGCACCTTTTGTCTGGATAACTGAGGTCTCCCATCATTATTACATCATGAGTGTGTAGGTTCATGATCTTTCTTTCTCTCTTTCTTTCTTTTTTTTTTTTTTGGTGAGGCAATCGGGATTAAATGACTTGCCTAGGGTCACCCGGCTAGTAAGTATCAAGTGTCTGAGTCTGGATTTGAACTTACGTTCTCCTGACTCCAGGGCTGGTGCTCTATGCACTGTGGCACCTAGCTGCCCTATTGCTTTTATTTCTGCCTTTGTTCATCTTCACTCATGTTTTTCATTTGTTTCCCCATTCTGGTTCCTGGATTTTCCTCACATTGTGTTAAAGTGCCAGGGAATATTAAAAAAAAAGCAGAACATTTCTTTGTCCTCAAGGATGTTATATGCTAATGTAGGAGACAACATATGTAAATTAGAACATTCAAGATGAATATAGAGTAGATGGAAAGTAACCTTAGAAGGGAGATAGGATTGGAAGCTGAGAGGGACCAGGAAAGGCCTCTTTGAGAAAATGATGTTTAAGTTGAGTCTTAAAGGAATCCAGAGACTCAGAGAGTCAGAGGCTGGGAAGGAGAGCACTCCTGGCATGAAGAACAGTATGTGTAAAAGCACAGAGATGAGAGAGATAATGCCATATGTTAGGTATAGCGAGTAGGCCAGTATCACTGTAATGTAGTGTGTGTAGAGGACAGTAGAATATAAGAAGACTGGAATGGTAGGAAGATAGCAGGTTGTAAAAAGCTTTGAATGTCCAACAAAGGACTTTATATTTGATTTAATAGGGAGCTCTTAGAGTTTGTTGAGCAAGAGGGTGACAGTCAGTCCTATACATTAGGAAAATCACTTTGATAGCTAAGTGGAGAATGGATTGGAGTGGACATGAGACAGAGACAACAATGAGAAAACTATTGCAATAGTCCAGGTAAGATGTGATGAGGGCTTGAATTAGGTGGTGTCTCTGTGATTGGAGGGAATGGAACATAGGCCAAAACCCTCGGTAGAGACAGAAGTTAGGAGATTTATCAACTGGTTGGACATGTGAGATAAGCACAAGAGAAGAATTTAGGGTGATGAGATTATGAGCCTGGGTGACTGAAAGGATTCCTCACCTCATGCCTGCTGCCTAGACTGCCTGCCACAAGTCTCTCCCTACTGCAGTCTGTTCTCCACCCTGCTGTCAAAAAGATCTTTTTAAACCTTAGGTTTGACCTTGGTCACCTGCACCCCTTCCCTCCCCCAGCCCCCCTTCCCCCCACCCATGTGGTGAATAAATTGCAGTGGCTCCCTAGTATAAATAGTATAATCACGAGTATACATTCTAGTGGCTCCCTACATAAAATACTCTGTTTGATGTTCCTCCATACTATAAAGGGATTATACTCCATACTATAGTCTTCTCACGCTTTACACCCTCCCCCAATCCCAGGGACTCTGGTCTTCTTCCTATTCTTTGAACAAGATACTCTCCCAACTGCAGCATTTTCATTGGCTCTCTCGAATACCTGGATGCTCTCCCTTCCCCTCTCTACCTCTTGCCATCTCTGTCTTCCTTCAAGTTCCAGCTAAAATCAAATGTTCTACAGGAAGTCTTTCCAAATCCCTTCCCCATTTAGCTATTAGGTATAGGTCTATCTCATCTCCAGGCTTTCCCAGATCTCTAATGGCTACAAATAATATCTTTCAGAAAATTTGTTAAGATGCTTAAAATTCTGTGCATGTTTTCTCTTCCCTGAGGAAAGAGCCAGAAGGCACATTATATAAGCCAGGCAAATTTGACCATCACTTCCCCCCTGGCGCCCTGGTAGACACAGTGCAGCACCCCTACGTCCCAGGGCCCTGCAATATAGCTCCCTCTCACCACTCCCCTCTCCTGGCCACTGGCCCAGCCCCTGAAGCCATCACAGCATACAGGACAGGGCAGTAATCACTAGAGACAGCTGATAGCAACCAGAGCCTTATGAGATGAAGACCCATGGTTGGTTGAGAAAGTCTGGTTGGTGGCAATAGAAGACAGAGGATCACAAGCCCTGGAGGACAACTGTGGGGAGAAGGATATACCTGCTAGAGGCTATCAGCTTGGTGCCCTCAGGCAAAACCCTAGTTGCTTGAGTTAGTTACAACTTTGCATATCTATTTTTTGTGTCTATGAAACATATTTGTGCATTTGACAAATATTTATAAAGCACTTACTTTGTGCAAGGCACTGACCCAGCTAAACAACTAAGGGATAAAAACATGAATAATACACAATCCCTGCCCTTAACCAGCTGACCAGTGCTTAGTAAGGGGGAGAGAGAGAATATAACAAATAGAAGAAATAATGATGGGAATACTTGACACAAAGCTGTGGATACCTAGTGTCTGCAGGGTGAAGAGATTTGGATTTTCCTACCAGTTTATGAGAAGTGCTCGAAGCACTGTTATACCCAAACTATGGAAATGCCATCTGGTGGTTAACAGAGATATTGTCCTATTTATGACGACCAAGTGCTGTCCTTATGCTGTCCTCATAAGCAGTTAGACTTTCAGCCGCATTTAATTCTTTAGAAGCAGATCTTCTTAAAACTATGACATATAGGAACATAAGAGGTGCCATATTGGTTCTAACCTTTGTGCATCTGCCTCAGCATTACTGACACCAAGGATGAAACTTGATAGGGCATTCTTGTTTTCCCTTATGTCAACTTTCAGGATTACATACATCTGGGCTTTTCCTAGTAGCCAATTAGATGCCACAGAGTAGGTGGCAATGCCTTAACTATGTATGTGCTATAAAAGCCACTAGGACCTCTTCCATTTTTATCACGGGAGTTGCTAACCTGGTCTCCCATTGCATCCAGAGTCATCTCCAGTCATCCTGATCTATATCTTGCCACTGGATCCAGATGGCTCCTGAGGAGAAAGTGAGGTTGGTGACTTTGTACAGCCTTCTCTCACTTAAATCCAGTTCACTTGCATGTCATGGCATCACCTCCTTGATTTCATGGTCCTCTTCAAGAATGAAGGACAAATAACAGTAACCAGTTATGGCTTTAATTTTCATAAATCTGTTAGCACTCTTTTAAAAATTTCTTGCCACTACTATCCTCTGGGGGCAATGAGTTTCTTTCCCTCTCTGTGAAGTGGCATTTCTTATATATATTAAATTTATCTGAACTAAGAGGCTGCCCCTTATCCTAGAATTTCAAGTTTAAGGGCACAAGTGCATAATGACTTTATCTGTGCCATACATGATTCGAAACATTTCAGTCACGTCACCTGACACTGAGGACCTTAGGGTCTAAAGCTAGAGATTATCCAGTCTAACTCTCTCATTTTATAGTTGAGGAAACTGAGGAACAGAGAGAAGTGATTTGGCCAGGGACACAGACATAAAAATAGAAACAGGATTCAAACCAGGTCCTCAGACTCTAAATCCAATGTTCTATTATGCCTTCACTTTTCTGAACTAAAGAGTCCTAGTTTTTAATCACAGAATTTCTTCCCACCTCTCAGCCAATTTAGCTTTTTCAGAGATACAAGTGTGCCATATAGAGATGTTTCCGGAAGGTTAATTATGATCTACTCATCATCTCCAAATTAGCACATAGTCTTCCCTTGTCAATAACTTGTATTTTCAACATCTCTGGTCAGTGACTTGCACTGTCAGTCAAGAGTATCTCCTCATCAAGAAATTTGGCTGTAGGGGGCAGCTAGGTGACGCAGTGGATAGAGCACCGGCCCTGAAGTCAGGAGTACCTGAGTTCAAATCCAGCCTCAGACCAAACACTTGACACTTACTAGCTGTGTGACCCTGGGCAAGTCACTTTACCCCAATTGACTTAAAAAAAAGAAAGAAAGAAATATGGCTCTATGTACAGAGAAGTTGGAGCCAAATCTTAAGATGTTAGAGACAGAGCTCTTGTAGGTTGGCAACAGGACTGCCTCCTTGCAAGTGACATCAGTTTCCCTCAAGAATTAAATACCTATTAACTCTGGAGAAGATTTCCCACTAGTCTAAGAAAACCCGACACAGATGTTCTTGGGTGGAATAAATAAAAGAGCAGGGAGCCTTCTGCTGATTTACTTTAATCCATCACAGAGATGGAGCATACTTCTCAAGTTTTACTAAAAGACTCAAATATAGAATCAATCTCCCTGTTAACAAATCTGTGTGTTTGTGTATGGGTGTGGGTTATGTATAAGCACATATATATATATATATATATGTATATATGCATATATATTTAATATATACATACACACATGCATATGTGTGTATCCATAGATACATAAATATATACATACATGCATATACACATATACATACACATAAAATTGCCTATGGGTAAGGTACTGTTAGGTGCTAGGGATAACAAAAAAAAAAAAAACCCAGTAACAAAGGAACTTGCCCTTAAGGCCCTCCTACTCTACTGGGGAGAGAGGACATGTAAACAGGTAAGTGAATACAAAATAATTTAAGAGGGCAGTAATAACAACTAGAAAGATCAAGAAAAAAAAAGCTTCCCATAGGAGGCAATACATATGCTGAACATGTAGTTTTATGGAACAGAGATTAGTTTTCCAACCATGTGCTTGTACAATTAATTTTCTAATAAACTGGGAAGTATTATGGTGCACCAGAAAGAATGTGCTTAACTAGAAGTCATGGGACACGTTTGAATCCTAGATTTCCCACTTATTACTTGTGTGAACTGCAGCAAATTGTCACATGTCTCAACCTCAGTTTCCTCATTTGTAAAAAGGGATTGGACTAGATAACCTGGAAGATCCATTCCAGTTCTAGACACATCATAGGATCCAAAAAGTACAGGAAAATAGTCATTGCATCAGAGATCCAGCATTATGGAGGCAGGTTATTATGGGTCTTTAGAAGAACAGGTAGAGGGAAAAGCACATTACCATTATTCTGAGGTACCAACAAATCACTGAGACAATTATTAGAATTGGAGGAGATAAAGAAAAATAGGTACGCTAATGCGCTACTGACGGAGCTATGAAACAGTCCAGTCATTCTGGAAAGCAATTTGGAACTATTCCCAAAAATGTACTAAACTGTGCATATACCTTTTGACCCAGCAATATTGCTACTAGAGCTATGTACTGAAGAGATCCAAGAAAGAGAAAAAGGACCCATATGTACAAAAATATGTATAGTTCTTTTTATGGTAGCAAAATATTGTAACAGAGGGAATGCCCACCAGTTGGGAAAGAGCTTAACAAGTTATGGTATATGGATGTAATATACTGGTGTGCTGTAAGAAATGATGAAGATCAGCATAACTTTTGAAAAACCTAGGAAGAATTGTATGAACTTACACAAAGTGAAGTGAGCAGAACCAGGAGAACAATTAATATAATAAATTGTAAAGATAATCAGCTTTGATTTAGAACTCTGATCAAAACAATAACCAACCACAATTCTAAAGTACTCCATGATGAAACATGTTATCCACTTCCAGATAGATATCTGATGGACTCACAGTACAAACTGCAGCATATTTTCTTCACTTTCTTTTAACATGGCTATAAAGAAATTTGTTTTGCATGACTATACATACATTTTTTTTGGGGTGAGGCAATTGGGGTTAACTGACTTGCCTAGGGTCACAGAGCTAGCAAGTATCATGTGTCTGAGGCCACATTCGAACTCAGGTCCTCCCGACTCCAGGGCCAATACTCTATCCACTGTGCTACCTCACTGCCCCATGACTATACATATTCATAATGAATTTTTTCTTGCCTTCTCGATGGGTGAGGAAAGGGAGAAGGGAGAGAATTTGGAACTAAAATTAAATAAATTTTAATTGTTAAAAATAAAAAATAAAAGTCACTTTCCAATAAGAAAAACAAACTTAAATTGAACATAGCCGGGCTTGATAGATCCTTTTCTTATATTGCAAGCCAAGAGTACCATCTTGTGATCATAGTTGGAACTGCAGAGTTAAGTTTATCAGATTTTTATATAAAAGTTATTTTCTTTTAAAACAGGATCATAGATAGAGCTGGGAGGGATCTTCAATGACATCTAGTCAATTTTCATTTTACAGATGAGGAAACTGAGGTCCAAAAGTAAAATGACTTGCTCAAGCTCACATACCTGCTTCTAAAAGCTGGAATTTGAAACAATCCTGATTTCAAATCCAAATGATTTCATTTTCCAGTATGATAGTTTTTCATCTGTTTGATCTCCTTATTAGATTATAAGTTCCTTCAGGTCTAGGACAATATGTCTTAGTCACCTTAGTGTTTGGCAGTACTTAGCACAATATAATTCACACGTTAGCACTTAAATTAAAGTGTTAAGTGAATTAACAAGGATTTATTAAGTAACTACTCTGTGTCAGGCATCGTACTAAGTATCAGGGATACAAAGACACAAGTGAAACCCTATCTGCCCCTCACAAAGCTTACATTCTATCAAAGGAAACAACACATACACAAGAAAATACAAAACATACAACATAAGGGTTCATGCAGGAGGTGGGTGGCACTTGAGCCGAGAGGAACTCTAAGAGGCAGAAGTGAGGAGGAAGGTCATTCCGGACGTGAGGGGGTTGGGCCCACAACCTGTGCCAAGACACAGAAACAGAAGCTAGATAATTGTGTACAGGGAACTTTAGCAAGCAGGCTGGTTTTGAGGGAATTTAGAACACATGAAGGAGAATAATGGATAATAAGCTTGGAAAGGGAGACAGAAGCCAGATTGTGAAGGGCTTTGAATGCCAAACCAAAAGGCCTGTATCTTACGTTAAAGGCAAAAATGAACCACTGGAATTTTTTGAGCAGTGGAATGACATGGTCAACTTCATTTATTAAACCATGGTGAATAATTCTGTTTTCTAGACAAATGAGGATAAATCCTGCCAATTTTTCCTCCACATCTTGTATGGAAGGATAAACCCACACTAAATTCTGTACCTTTGTTGAGTAGCCTTTCCATGTTTAGACTAAGTAAACCTTCTTTAAACTGTTATATGATCTACCAGTGGCTTATTTAGTTCCAACATGGATCTAAACTACCAGAGGTCAGGCTCAACCTACAACAGTAAGAAATGATTAATATGAAGAATTTAGAGAACACAAGACGATGTACATGAACTGATGCAGGAGATAAGCAGAACCAGGAAATATACACTATGACTACAGACAGAATGATAAAAAGAATGTGAATGCTGTATAATGATGACCAAACTTGACCTCAGAAGAGTTAGGAAAATGTACCACCCTCCCCTCCTAGCATAAGTGGGAGACTATGAGAATTTGCTAAGATTGTTGGTACGTTGGTTAGTTTTGCTGAGCTGCTTTTCTCCCCAAACCCTCTTTGCTAACAAAGAATAACTCACTAGGTAGGGAAGGATATATTTTAAAATGAAGGTGACACAAAAACAAAAAATATCAATAATTAAGTTTATAAAATCATTTTCAAAGGGAAATATTTTAGGGAGGCCAATTAAGGACTGGAAAGCACCTTGTAGTTTACAGGTCTAATGGGGTGATTAACGATCACAACAAATATAGGTGTCTTAAGGCAACACCCATAAATACCCAAAACAATAAAAAAAAGAATCCCCAGAGAAGGCGTAGGGGAAATGATGTAACACGTTCAATATTTGTTGAATAACATTCAACAAAAGGAACTCCATCATTCCACACAGATCACTGTGAATGATACTGGAAACAGATTCTCAATATTTCTTAACCGAACTTGAAATATCACCAGTAAATGTCACTATTCATGCATTTTTTTAAAGTCATATATATATGTAAACTGAAACAAGATACAAAAGTACCACAGTCTACTGTTAAAAATAAAAAGACCAAAATCAGTTAGTCAACAAACATTTATTTAGTGTTTACTATGTGCCAGGCACCGTAAATAGATATATTAACAGCAAAATCTATATAGACAGCTGGAGTTTAGGCATATTTTATTTGGTTAACCTAAAAAATAAAACCTTCTGATGCTTTTTGCAAAATAAATTACATTAATATCTCATATGTGAATGACAAGTTTTATGAATAAGTTATATAGAACACAAAACTAAAGTCAAAAGAGTGAATGGCTGTTCAAACACTGCAGAATTTGTTCCTCTAGTTTAACTGTGCAACTTTAAACACTTTTCATAGAAAAAAGGAATTTGTTACAGATAAAGGAAAACAAATTCCAAATAAACATGGTTCAATGACATTCATTTATTTAACCTTAATTAAGGCAAGCAAAGTACAGATACTGTACATTAAAACATACAAATAGCAACAACATGACACAATTTAAAAAAACTGATTTATACATTCTTAAGGACTTCTCTAATGTTGCTCCCTTTCCGAAGCACATCAACCATTTTAAATGTATAAGGAACCATCAGCTGGTCCAACATAGCCAACTCCAATTAGCAGAACGTCTATCAAAGTCCATATTCCCAGGCCACCAAAGCTGAACAGCTTGCCTAAACCTTCTCGCCACTGACCTAGGTAGAAACGATCTGCTCCAAATCCACCAAGGGTAATGCTATAATGTAAAACAATGATTGATTAATATTAAGTTCTGGGATGACTATAAACTAATTCCATAACTCATTATTAGTAAAAGAAACTCCTTTCATGTCTGCCAACAATTTATGTTTCAACAAATGAATGTCCATCATAAACTTTAAACAAATAATTCCATTACAAATTAATTTTCAACACTGCAGCTGGGAAAAAAAACACCTAGGTACAAAGACCTAATATCTACTATATATATGTGCATGTGTATACAAAGTAAGTAGAAACAAGTCAACTTGGTAGTAGGATAAAATTCTAGTATCAAACTTCTACTAACTAACCTAACTTTTGATTTCTTCTAAAGAAAAAAAAGGTACATCACTTCATTTTCTAACAACGAAAAATTTATTTTTAAAAGGATATTGGAAGCAACACAGGATGGAATAGAGAGCTGGTCAAATCAGGAAGAGATCGGTTCAAGGCCTGCCTCTAACTTATACCAGCTATGTGAGAATGGGACCCCCTCAGTGCCTTAGGCAATTCTGTAAGAATGTAATGTCAAGGTACTATTAGGAGACTCCCTGTTTTCCGGAGCTAAGGCCCACCAAGCAAGCTGTGCCCTGAGCTTGGCATAACAACAATCCTTTGCACTCACTTTTTGGAAATGATGGTCCCTGAGCTTGGGCAAGCACCAACAGGCCCAGACACGAAGCCCTGCTATGAAAAGGCTTTTTCTCACTAGACAATCTTGCCTCATTGTTGCTGCTGTGCTTCACTACTGTTGCTACACTAAACTGTTTGATTCTTTGTCTAGCTACAAGTACATAAATCAAGGTTCAGTCACACTAACTCGGGTCCCCCGATGAGAAGTGGGTCCCTAGCATGTGTTTGAACTGCCTCCTTGCTTGCAAGCTGTTTCTCTCACTTTGAAATTAAACTTCTGTTTCATTCCTGACTCTCCTGTATCTAGCCTGCTCTGTTCAGCTCCAGCCACCTAGAGGTTAGAGGCCAGTTCAGCCCCGCTGACAAGAAGTTAAAGAACTTCTGATCTGCATCAATCTAAGGAGTTTTACAATGAAAGTTACACTGACAGAATCACAAGTCCAGGACAACAAAAAGTTAAAACTATGTAGAGAATGCAATGCATTAAAAAGGAGCTTGGTAGTGGGAGGTAAGGCCTTTAGCCCCAATTCTGGCACTAACTAGTTATGGAACCTTGGGATAATCACTTAATTTTTCTGGATCTCAGTTTCCTCATTTCCAAAAAGAGAAGAATGGACTACATGACCTTACTAAATGCTAAACTTTTAATATTTAAAAACATTTTTCCGCTGGAAAACATTTACATAATGATTAAGTGAATTCAAAACAGCAAAGCATTAATTTATTTTTTTCTTCTCTCAACAGTTACAACGGAATTTCGGAACATATTTTTAACACTATATTAAACACTATACCTGGAACAAAAAATTTTGTTAGGAATCAGAATGAAGCTTATTTGATTCAAATTCTAGCCCAGCTGCTTACTTTTAAGTTAATTTCCCTCCTTAGGCCTCAATTTACTGAATGGTAAAATTAAGGGGTTGAGCTAGATGACTTCTAAGATCTCCACAAACTCTAAATCTGTGAACTTGTGAATATCTTTTAATCAGTATATTCAGTTTTCTATTTTAAAGAGTATTAAGGAAAATTTTAAAAATTAAATTAAAACCAAACACCCTACATTTTACAGAAAAAAATCTTTGATATTTTACCATTTTAGTTATGGTCTAATATTTTGTCACCTATAACAATGCTATCAAGTGAAACACTTTATTAACATTATTTAAAACTTTAACACACAGTTAAACAAAAGAGGAATACAAATATCAACAACTAAATAAGTTATTTCTAGGACGTCAGTCATCTTGGGAGGATTAATGTTAACAATTCCAGTCCACAAAGTCCCTCTTAGTAAAGCATAAATCTAATCAACTAAATGTCTCCTGGTAGTTAATGTACTTTCTAAAGTATCTACCTTGCACATGGCAGAATCTGAATCAATGAGTACTTTCATTTAACTCAGTATGTTTATCAGATTATATTGTACGCCAAAGGTGTACAGGGCATCTTTTTTAAAAATTCAAGTTAAAATCTTCAGTAACTCTTTACCTTAATGCCAGAGCAGTAGACCATTTGTAACCTCCAGTCCAGTTACAGTACAGCATTTTGGGAAAGGTACGTTTACCTTAAAAAAGGAACACAATCTACAATGGAAATGGGTATAACAAGTAATACTGTGGCAGGAGAGTTAATGGTGATTAATGGATACTACAATCTGCAAATCTACAAACCAATGATATTTTACTCAGTAAAAATGTATTTTTACTCAGTGAAACAAAAAGATTCCAAGAATTCTTCACCCATTCTACTTTTAACATCTTGTCAGATACAAATAAAAAAATAGAACACTAACAATTCAACTTTGTAAAAGTTGAATGCACCTGAAAAACTAGATATACAAAAAGCTACCAATGTAATACGGAACCCTCTAATGATGCAGCAGGTCCTTTTTCAAATCTATTTAGTTCATTATCAAATTAGATCCTTTGTTATCATAAGGCATAACCATGAGGCTAGAAAATAGTTATTATAAAGGGACAGTATAATTAAAATTAAAATTTCATATAAAAAGTATTTGAAAATTTTTTGTTTAGCAGCCTCCCCCTAAATCATCTGCTTAAAATATAACTTACCCAAGCAATGAATGTGATCATGAACTGTACAATTGGCACTATAACGCTGTCGGGGACAGGAGACAGTCATACAGTTTGTGGCATTGGAACACTCATAATCTGTTTCTGGAAGTTGCCAGCAAAAGCTGCAGGTCATGTTGACTGTAAAATTATGTTGCTTTGTGAAGTTCTGATCCTACACATCAAAAGACATAACATTGGCAAAATAGTAATTACCTGTCAATTTGTCAAGAACAGTTTACACTACCATATGGTATGAGGTTTCAAAAACACAGAGTCATGGGACTTTAGAGTTGGAAGGAATGTGGAGAACAAGGACACTACACATCACAGATACTTAATAAAAATTCACATGTGTTTTACAAGCTAATTAAATGATGACTTGTTATACCACACTGCTTCCCTTATTAAGTCTCATATTTTTCTTTGTAGAATTTGATAAAGACCTCTCAAATTCTTGCCTTTTTCTGCTACTCCTGAATTTTTTTTGATTCCTGAATTAAAGAGAGCAGCCAGTGACATATGGCTTCACAGAGGAACTAGATGAGATAATCAGGTATATCTTGTATCAGGCTAGAGAAGTCTAGGTACTTGAGATAAGGTTAGCTGTAATTAATTTTTCAATAACAGCGTCAACTGTTTTAAGCCCAGCAGTTTTCCTCCTAATGGATAAAAACTTAAATCTGAATATCATGTTGTGAAACTTCCTACTCATGTTTGTAAAACACAGAGAAAGGAACTAACCAGAAAACATAGAGAAAAAACTAACAAGAAAAAGAACTAGAATGAGATGGGAGCACAAACAGATAAATGAAAGAACAAGAAGGTCAGGAAAATCTGAGGAAGCAGCTGGACTCTAAGCAGCCAGGTGGTAAAAGGAGAAACAAAAAGAAAAAAAGGAGAAACACATTGGGTAAAGGTATCTAAGACATGGGGACATGTGTTCATGCACCCACACACTCACTCACCCCACCCAGGTAGGAGGGGAAAGATGATGGGCACCATGATAATGGGAAAATTTCTTTTGGATTCCACTTGTACCATTATTAAACGTGTTTTTGCTTCCCACTTTCCTACTTCAGTGATAATCTAGTTTATTTTTTGAGATGCCTATTCACTATCTTATTCAGTGTTGTACTTGCCAAGAGTCTATTTCCACCAAATAAAATTTAGACACTAGAAACAATTTACTAATCTACTAAATTACAAGAATGCAGGAAAATAATATTCTTGGGACAAAATAAAAATGCTACTAAGCACTCCACAGAGGAAAAAGACTTATCGGTATATTTGTTATTATGATTCTACCAGAACTGTGGGTTTTATGCTTCCCTGACTTTCTCTAAAATACATATTTCAAAAATTCTGAATGATTCCCATATATTTAATCAGATTCCTGTATAGCAACAGACCAGCCCTAAAAAGAAAAATAGTCTTCATTATTGCTTAAAAAACAAATTGCTTAGTGAATATTCTTAAGGGGATCTATCTTAAATGAGCAACAGCAGGTGGCAATTTCAACTTTGCACAAAGTCTATGGTAACTATCTTGAATAACGTGTTACAAAATACTAAATGACCTGCCTGACAACAAAAATTTATTTTCAACTTCTGTAGTTTCAACCTAATAATTTTTTTTCCCATAAAATACTACCTGCAAAATACATAGCACTTGAGGGTTTTTAAAGATTTTTTTGTTTTGAAACATCAAGACTGAATTATGCCTAACACAACTTTGGGTTTGTTTTTTATTTTTGACATACATTAAGATGAATGTTTCCATACTTACAACACAGGTAACATGAGGTTTGACTGTGCAGTCAAATGTGACAGGCTTTCCATACACACAAGAGTAATTTGTCTTGCATTCTATGCAGTCAGCAGGAAGCTTGCTACACAAACCATTGCTTGGACACTTCATCACATAAGCTGGCGTTTCTGTACTTTCTGTGAGGTGAGAGAAAAGCTTATTCTCTTACAAAAGTATTCAGAATAAAAGAAAAATTAGTAATGTCCTAATCTAGCTAAAAGGTCCTAATTATCAGCAGTAAAAACAAAACAGAGAGGCACTACTGTACTGAAAATATAGGAAGAAAGTAAATTTCCTAATACAGTAAAAAAAAAATCATATAACAAGATATTAAGTCTATGGAAAAGCGGGGGATAGGGACTTGAGATAAAGATCTTATAACCTATTTCATTAAAAACTATTTAAACACAAAATATGGTAATAGAATAAAATAGTCTTATTAAAATTTTTACTCACTAATTTGAGAAAGGAGACAAAAAGGCATTTGAGAAACACAGAAATGGGAGGTGGGAAGACATTAAATATAATCTTTACCTTCTTTATCACTCTGCCCAGAGTCTTGGTGACAGAGTTGTCACCATATTACTGAAAATCATCATGCTACAACGGAAACAGATCTCCCTGGGTTTGATGTCAGATGATCGGGGTTTGAATCTAGACTCTGCTACCTACTGCCTGTGCGACCTTGGACAGGCCTCATTTTTCTCATCTGTAAAATCAGGAGGTTAGACTAGATGAGCTGTTCGGTCTCTTCCAACTCTGAACCTATAATCCTATGATCTTGGTGTCATCTTTGGTAGAATGCTGTATGTTACTAATTAAACATCAAAATGCTTCCAACATTTTTATCCTCTGCATTTACTACAACTTTGTAACCATATTACATGTGAAAACAGTAGCAAGTGTTACAGCGTGTATAAACAGAAGAGGCTGATTGGCTGTTCAGTCTGGGCTTCAGAAGATAGAAGTACCTTGTAAGAGTCAAAGTCAAGGATCTGGTAGTATATTCTGAAGTCCATGAGAAGGATCAGAAGTGATCAGACTTTCACACCAACCACACAAGACCAAATAATAAGCAAGACTGCCAATTTACAATAAAAATAATTGTATAGTGGTCTGGATTTCGGTAGTCCATTAAAAATAGTTCCAGTCTCCATCAAGCTGAGTTACCCTCTAATGGAGCAGCATACTTGACGAACAAATCAGATTTTTGCCCACCAACCCTGGCACCTCTTCCTCTGGATGACTAAAAATTATTGCTCTGTTGGTCAACTTTTCCTAGACTCCAAACTGCTTATAAAACTTAATTGCTAAAGTACTTATAATTTATTGAAGTATAGCTTATTTTCAGTTTTAGAATCATAGATCAAGAGTTGGAAGGATCTCTGAGACCATTTATTCAAACCCCCTAGTTTTACAAATGGGGAAACTGAAGCCCAGGGAGTTTAAATCATTTTTGCTCAAGAACTTACAAGTAATTAACACAAAAGGTAGACTCTGAACCCAAGTTCTCTGACTCTACAGCTAATATTTTTCCGCAACATACTCCCCTAAGAAGATTTAGATATATACCCTTGTCTTACCAACAGTTTATTATACATCACCTCTTCCTAAATTACTTATTACTGTTGAAAGGCATCACCATACTCTCAGTCACCCAAGTACTTAAACTTCCTTGACTCTTCATACCCTCTCACCCCACATATCCAAGTGGTGCTAAGTTCTGTCAATTCTACCTTTGTGACATCTTTCCAATAGGCCCCCTGCCTTTCTAGTTGATCTCCCCGCCTCGTCCTACTCCAGTCCATCCTCCATGGCTGTCAAATCCATCTTCTTAAAGCAGGGGTCTGACCATGTCATAACTGTTCAATCAACTACAGTGGTTTCCTATTAACTTCAGGATCAAATGTAAAAATCCTGTTTGGCTTCTTTGAAACCCTTCATAACCTGGCCCCTCCATACCTTTCCAGTCTACCTCACTCCTTCCACCAACTCTACAATCCCTTGACACTGGCCAGGGACACGCCACCTCTTGACTCCATGCATTTCCAGGGGCTGTCCCACCTGCCTGGAATGTTCTCTCTCCTCATCTCCACCTCCAGGCTTCCTTCAAGTCCCATCTTCTGCAAGAAGCCTTTTCTGATCTCCTAGTGCTTTCCCTCGGAGGTTATCTCCAATTTATCCTGTATATAGCAATGTTTGCACTTTGTCTCCCCCAAAAGACTGTGTTCCTTGAAAGCATGGACAGTTTCGCCTTTCTTTGTATCCCCAGCACTTAACATACATAGTAGGCGATTAATAAACGTGGACTGACTGCCTGTTAAGCGTGGATCCCTTATTTGCCTATACCAGAATGTTTAAGGACCTTACAAGTAAAGAAATTTTAGCCAGATATTTAAAACATTTTAGCTTCAACTGTAATCGTCAGGGCTAATAATGGTCTTTGGAACCCTCAAATAAGTTATGCATTAATTGTTAGCCATCTCTGGTTTGTTCGCAGAGACAAAATCCATCTGCGTCATTTTGGTAGTAAAAGGATGGAGAAGAGGGGCAGGGGGTCCCCGTCTTCCTCCACTGCAGTCAGTTTCCTTAGTTAAGATGCTAACAAAGAGCCGGCGTGATGAGCCCAGCTTCCGGGGCTCCTCCTCGACCTTCTTCAATTAACGGGGAAAGGTCAAGAGAAAAGGGGGCGCGCGAGCAGCGGGAGGGTGAGGTCATCCCCCCAGGGCGGGGCGAAGAGCGCTTCCCTCCTCCTCCACCTGCAGCGGCGGCCGCAGCGGTAACTGCCCCGTCGGGGCCGCAGGCGCCCCAGGCTCCGCTGCCCTCCGCTGCCCTCCTCTGCATACCGTCACCCGCAGCGGGGCTCCGGAGGGGAGCAGGGCTCCGGCCCAGAGCGAGACGCGCACTCGCCGTCCTCGGCAGCCCCCCTCACCCCATCCAGGCCTGACTCCCGAATCTCCCGTGGGAACGCTAGCTCTCGACTCACCACCGCCCGTTAAGATGTAGAGCTGCGAGAGGAAGAGCAAGACGCGGCTCAGTCCGCCCAACGTCGCAGTCGCAGCTACCACTGCCACCATTTTGTCGGCGTGCGGCCACTTCCGGGTCTTTACGTCACGCGTCGATGCGTATGAGAAGTCTGCGAATGGGCTGCGTCCTAGAGGGGGGAGTGAGGCGGGGCCAAGAGCTGGCTTCTCAGTAGCTGGAGACGAGACGCGCCTTTGCCCCTCCCCCACCCCACCGCCAGTCGCCGCGGAGGCCATAGGCGCATGTGCAAACAAACCACGGCTGTCTCCACGTTGGAAGGTGCTGGGAGGAAAGGCTGTTTAGGAATAGATAAACTGGTCAAAGGATATGAACAAGCGGAGTTCAGAGGAACAGAATAAATCCAACCTTTCAATAGCTATACAAAAAAAAATGCTGAAAATTAGAGATATGCAAATTAAAACAACTCCGAGGTCCTGGCTCACATCTACCAGATTGGGAAAAGATGGCAAGAAAAGGAAAAATGACAAATGTTGGAGTGGTTGTGGGAGAATAAGCACTCTAATGCATTCTAGTGCATTGTTCGTGGTGCTGTGAATTGGTCCAGCCATCCTGGAAAGTTATTTGGAAGAAAATGTCGTTAAATTGTGCTTGCCCTTTGACCCAGGGAAAGCTCTATTAGGCCAAGGAGATCAAAGTAAGAAAAAGACCTAGTCCTACAAAAACATTGAAAACTGAAAACCCCCACGCTGAAAACTAAAGGGGTGCCACTCTACTGGAGAATTGCTAAACAAATTATGGTATATGCATGTGATGAAATGTGAGAAATGGGAAAATAGATCGTTTCAGGACCAACAAAATTACAATGACATTATAGAGAAAAAGAATTCTTAAAGACTAGCATTCAGATGATTCTATGATAAACCATGAGTCATGCTGCCCACTTCCTGCCAGAGAGGTTATGGACCAAAATCTCAGAATAAGGCATGCATGTTTGGACATAGCCAATGTGGAAATTTGTTTTGCTGGACTATGAGGATTTACTGTAAGGGTTTTTGATGTTTTTCTACTGAGGGAGCAACACTGAGTAAAGATAATGTTTGTAAGAAGATATTAAAAAAAAACTTTTGAGCCACACTTGTTTCCCAACATCCCATCTTCTACTTCTCTTGGTAAATTCTTCAGAAGTTTGAAGGACTGACCTTACTCAATGATTCAGTTCAATTCAGTAAACATTTATTAAAACCGTACTGCATACAAGGCACTGATAGGTGGTGGTATACAAAGACAAAAATGAAATAGGTTCTGCCCTCAAGAGCTTACATTCTATTAAGAGGCTACAACATATAAACAAGTATAGTACAAGGGTAATTGAGGTGGAAGGATACTAAAACCTGTGAGATTGGCAAGATACAGTCGAAAGTGTACTACTTGTTCAGGAGTCAGAGGACATGGGTTCAAATTCTACCTGTGACCCTAAAGGAGCTATTTAACTTCATTTTCCTCAAATACAATGAGGAGTCATTGAACTAGTTGGCTTCTGAGGTCTTTTTCAATTCTAGCTCTGTGATACAATAATTTGTAGTAGTATCATAGGATTACAGATGAATTTCATTGATAAAACAAACTAGATTTGAATCCTAGCTTTGAAATGAGAGGATTGGACTAGATCTCTTTGGTCTTCTTCTCCCCGTAAATGAATGAACTACATGAACTTGTGGCTTTCTTGGCATCACTCAGGTAATAAGGATGTGGCTTCAAACCAAGTTCTTTTTGACTGAGAAAACCAATGAATATTCTTTATCCTGTGGAAAACCTTTCATTTTACAATTAGATACATGCCTAAACACGAAAGCATACTTGATATACCCCAGGATAGGTAACACATTGACTTAAAAATCATAGTATGATGTGACTTGACAGAGCATTCCCTGAGAGCAGATTTTCAAGATTATGGGGAAATATATATATTTTTAAATTTTATTTGAGGAAAGAATAAGAGGGACCTATAGGTCCCTGAGTTGATAGAGAAAGGAGGTCCCACTGCAGAAGAAAGAATAAGAAAAAAGAAGGGTAGGGTAACAAATACAAATTCTATTGACTTCACAATTTTGCCCTGGATTGACTCTATTGATTAGGATGGGCACAGAAGAACTGATCCCATGCATCTCCAAAGTAAGCAGCTAATTTGTGGAGTAACTTGAAACAGGACCAAAAGTCTCTCCCATCCTATAAATGTAGTCTCAAGGGCACTGAATTTTTGTTTGAGTTCTCACTCTTTCATTGAGTGCCAAGGGGATCTTGGGCAAGTCGATTAGCTTCTGGGCCTTATTTTTCTCATCTAAAAAATTTAGGAGGGCTAATTCCCTTCAAACCCTAAAGCTATAGTCCTATGATACTACTACTATATAAATGAAGTGATAAGGATGATAATAACAGGCAAGGGAAAAGCAGACTTTCAAAATGACATTTGGCATAAATTGTTCTAAATCTTTTCTTAAAAGCTTATAGCCTTCATCTATAGTTAATTCAAAGAGTGTTAAACATCAAGAAATTAAAAGGCTGTACCATAGTACCTCTTAGTACATGCATATAACAGCCATCCCAACATCCTTCAGGTGTACCATAATACCAGAAATTCCTACCAATAATATGATACTTTGGAGTTAAAGTACTGACTCCTGAAGATATGAACTCCTTTGCATCAATTTCCCTGTGCCCTTTTAATCTGGTGCCACCCTACCTATCCAGATAGATTTCTGCTTACTCCTAAACATCAACATTCTCTGCTATATTTAGGAAGCTTATTATACTTTCTCCTCACAGATTATGTCATTCCTCTATCCTAGGATTCTCCCTAGTCCTATTAATCCAAAATGCAATTTAGTTCCCAATATCCAGCCCAAGCTCCAACACTACTGAAAAGTATCCCAAGAGAACTCTAGCCTATTTTCTCTAACTCACTTTGACCTTATTTTCTATTCCACATAATTAGCTTCTTGTTAAAACTTTCATGAATGTTATAGTTTATCTTCCCAATAAAACTGCAAACTCTTTGTGGGTTGAGAATATGTATTACTTCTTTTGTATCCCACATCTAGGATTGTAGACATATTGATTGATGAATTTTTTATTTTGCCTAGAGCTAGTCCTGTTCATGGAAAATTAGGTACCTGGGTTTGTCCTCTTCAATTCTGAAATCGGCTTATTTTTCTACAAGTTTATTGCAAAAGAAAATTGTAAGAAGACTGTCATTTAGTCAAAGATATAATTTGATTGAGAAAATATTTTGGAGCATTTACTATGGTGCTTAATAAAATAATTTAAAATGTAATGCTATCTTATTTTCATTTTTTTTAAAAAGGGAGTTAACTAAGTTGTAAAAGATACCCAAAAACATGAGAATTGCAGATCTCTAATGCATACAATATGGATAATAGCAATATATATTCCTCCATACTCTACTCTGAAGTCCTCTGTTATCCAAAGTAAATAATGGAGAATTCAAGACTCATTCAGATTCCTTTTTTTTTAAACTTGTGTGTAGTGTCTACAAAAAAAGGTCCTAAATATTTGCTGCATGAATTATTTGCTGAATTCCGAAGAAAAAGTTTTCCCTATAGGTCAACAAACATAAAATATCTAAGACATAATATTGTCATTGCAAAATAAAATAAGATTGTCTTTGCATACACCAAAGCTTCACAGGCTTTTATTTCAAGTTCATCAGTCTTTTGAAAAGCTTAAACCACCCTTAGTAACATCACTAAATATACATTTGCCATTATTTTCCCTTTTCAGTAAAACAAATTCCTTCATCTAACAAACACACATTTTCCTTTCTGCCTATGCCTTGCTGTCAGTGAGTCCAAAGCAGTAAGTAAAATTTCAGGAAGCTAGGGAAATAATTCCATTTTCAAATCTTAGTTCTTAATGCCTGAAGGTTGGCCAGTGGAAGACAGGAACTTCAAAATTCTTCCTCTGCATTTAACGTACGTGACTCCTTTAGTTTCTTCAGTTTAGTAATGGTGGAAGCTACGGAAGCCTCTCCATGAATTTTGTTGTCTCTTGTTCGAACATTTACAGCGTTATTTATTTTTTCTTTTTCTCCAACCACTGTTTAAAGAGTAAAGGAAGAAGCATGTTCTGGTTTTAGTCAACAGTTTAATCAACAGCTTAGACATTTTTGCATGTCACAAAATGTTTTTATCTTGAGTGTTTTCCTTTAAAATTAATGACATTATACTTTTCTTCATAGGCTCCCTGAGAGAAGGGATCTTTTCTAAACTCTACAACCCATCATACCCAGCATTAAACATCCTGAAGGTGTTGAAAAACATTTGGGACAATGATATATCACATATCATAAATTATTATATGGATATAAATATATCATATCACATATATATCATATATTTATATTTTTACTGGCTCTGTGATATCATTGGTATAGAGAACTACTTAGTAAGAAAATGACTTGTACCCAGGCAGATGAGCACCTTCTCTGCAACTTACAGTCTTAGAGAGTTCTCTGGAGCACTGAAAGGTTAAGCACCTTGTGAAGGGTCACAAAGCCAAGAGGTCAGAAGTGGGTGTTGAACCTCAGGATTGCTGACTTCAAGGCCAGATCTCTATCCATTATGCCAACTTGTTGCTATATTAGGCTAGTTATTTTTATTATTTTTAGTAGAAAAGAACTTTTCAAGGTCTCACAGGAAGTAGTATCATGTCTACAGGTATACAAATGCAATTTCTTATTTTTGCATCACCTATGATACTGAAACTAAGTCCAAGGGTTAGCATTCCATCACTCCCTAAAGAATTACCTTCCCAGATTGTTAAACAAATTTTATTTTGACATCCAAATCCTCTTTTTCATTATTTTAAATTGGTAATTCCAGTCATACCCTTTAGTCTAATCCATAAAATTTTTTATAAATCAAAAAGGCAAAGCAAGTATATTATTCTACTTTCACCAAATGGCTAAAATGGAGGAATCTGATTTCATGGAGAACTTTGTACTTAAAGAATCAACAGCCAATAAATAATTTTCTTCCTCATTGGTTTAGCAATAGCATTCATATAAAAAGTATGTAAGAATTCTTCCAACAAATAAGCAAACAAGCCATACCTCAAGATCTGTTTAACATAAAACTACTTTTTGTATGTCCAATATATGATCACTGAGTAAAATAATGATGCTATACTGATCACTTTATTGGTCATTAAAATGCAAGAACAAATATCTGGAAAACTAAATAGTTACCCTTATTCTTGCCTTTTTATTCATATGAAGCCAACTCAAAGCAGGTTAATACCATTCTAATACATTTCCAAACATTCCTAATCTTGTAAAAATGTCTATATAACTCAGAGAGTGCAAGGCATGTGTAAAAAATTTAAATTACCTAAAATAAAATTATACTGGGCCAGTTGTGCATTTCGTATTTTCTTATTTAGCATGCAGCTTTGATCTAGATCAACATCAGCCATGAACCCGGCTTCAAAAAATTCCTTGGATATCTAGGAGGGAAATTTCAGACAATTCTTTTATTATAGAATTTATTTTAATAGCAAATATGCAAAATGTTAGCTTGACTACATCCCAAGATAAATATTATAAGTACAATTCTGAAAAATCTTAATAAGCACCTAAGCCCCATAGTGATTTATTTGTTTTACTACTACATAGATTTAATTCAATTCAGAACCAGGGCTATATTCCCAATTACTGAATTAATATAATAGTTTTTAACTCTGCAGCATTTAAAAGCCCTTATGAGAAATAGAGGACAAAGTTATTACTATCTAGTGCATATTAGAAAAAGCTTTCTATCTTGCCTGAAGTGCATATTCTTCACAAGTTGGCCCTATAGGGATTACCATTACTTGACGTGGAGACAGCCAGAAAGGCCTGAAAAATACAAATGATGAATTTTTAAAAGAACATTCTTATTATTTATGCAAATTTCAATAATAAATATGGGACAGAATCTTTAAGGTATTTTAAAATAAACATATGTTTGTTATAAATGACTTTTTAATTTACCTATTTCTGGATCACTCTGTCATCTACTTTTTTCCTCTTCCTGTTTTCAGGCCATGAAGTGCTACTGAAGAAAGACTAGAAGCACTGATACCACAAAAATCTTTATTTTTGAAAATTCTTTTTCCTACAACCCTGTGAGATTGGAAGCAGCCTGATGCAAGGAAATATTTCTGCTCCTCCCTGATTAATTCCCCATTCCAATTCCCAGAGAAGCTGTTTCAGATCTTCTCCTCTCTCTTCTCACCTTCTATACTTTCCCTCCCTCCACCCAGAGGTCAAAGCTCTGGACCTCTCCTTTTAAAATGGGGCTATTCAATATAAGCTCCCTCTTCTTCTCTTCTTTTCACCTCAAAAATCCTTGTCATTCTTCCTCCTCTCTCTCTCTCCAAGGCCAACCCTTCTCCATGAGCTCTCAGCACCATCCTTTCCCATGTTCCCTGGCAGACTGCCTCTATCATCACCCCCTCCCAATCTCTTCCTATCTACTAGTTCCTTCCTTGCTACCCACAAATAGGCCCAGAACTCTGCCATCCATCCTTCCATTCCTCAAGTTGGCGTCCTGTATCTTTCTGCATTTTCTCAGATGCTTCTACTTGCTGCTTCCACTTCTTTCTCTCTCACTCACTTCTCAACTCTTTGCAATTTGGCTTCCAGGTTCAATACTCAGCTGAAACTGCTTTCTGCAAATGTTAGGACTTCCAGAATAATGAAGTCTAAACAAGGAGTTTATCAGTGAAGGGGAGGAAAGAAATGGGATGACAGCTTCTTCATATTATGAAAGAACACTAGAATAGGAAAGGAACGAGACCTGGGTTTTAGCCTCGGCTCTGTCATTAATTACCTTTGATATCCTGAGCAAGTTACAACTACTTTGAGCCTCAGTTTTCTTATTTGAAAAACTGGGTAGGTGTATTAGATAACCTCTAATGTCTGTTCTAGCTCAGAAGTTCTATAACCTACAATCTATGTTGTCGAATAATGTTTGCTTTTATCCCCACCTAGAATTTCATGTAAAACATCAATTTTCATTTCATACATTTTAAGATGAAAGGCAGGGTGGCAGAGCAGATACAGAGCCGGATTTGGAGTCAGGAAGACCTGGGTTCAAGGCCCACTTCTAACACATACTGGCTGTGTAACCCAAGGCAAGTCCCTTTAACTCTTAAAGCCCCAGACTTCTCTCTAAGACTCTAAACTACAGAAAAATTGATGATTTGCATTGGACAAGGGAATTTCCTCAATAGTAGTTCCCTACACCAATGAAATCACAAGCCTAGATTCCCTTCCCTCAAAAAAAGGCATTTTATGATAGTGACTAGTGGTAACCTACATACAGTAGGCTAAATGAACGTCTGCAGACTGACTGATGAAATTTTATTGGAGTTTGGGAAACTTTTCCAAAGTTTCCAAAACTTGAAACCTAAAACAGTCATATTTAAAAATTTTCATTTCTGCTAACTGGTTAACATAAAGACTAGAGTAACAGGGCTTAATAAATGTCAATGTGCCTTTCTGATTTTCTCTGACAGTCTTTATTCTTTTGAGGCATAATTTGGAATACTTTTTTATTATGAAGATGTAGTTACTGTATAATTTCAAACCAATATTTCTGTACTTAAATATGTACTTATAGGAGAAGAGAAGGGAAAAAACTATTTATGTAGTACCTACTATATGCCAGGCACTGTGTTAAGCCCTTTTACAAATATTATCTCATTTGAGATGCACAATAAACCTATGAGGTAGGTGCTATTATTATCCTCACTTTACAACTGAGGAAACTAAAGCAAACAGCAGTTGTGTGACTTCCCCAGGCTCACACAGCTAGTAAGTGGCTAAGGCCAGATTTGAACTCACGTCTTCCTGACTCCAGGCCCGTAATCCATACACTGCACTACCAGCTGCCTCTACATGTATGTATAAGATTCTTTAAAAAAAAAACCACTTTATAAATTGCAGTACATGAATATAGTATGTATGTACAGCACCACAAGAAATGGTGACTGTGAAGAATTCAGAATAGAATGGGAAGACTTTTATGGCCTTCACAGAGTGAAGTAACCAGAACCAAGAAAATAATATATATAATAATTACAACTACAGAAACAAAAAAGAAAGAAAGAGAATATAACGTAATTATAACAATTAAGCCTAACCCTGAACAAGAGATGAGAAAACACATCTTTCTTCCTTCTTGGCAGAAGTGGGGGATGGAGGATGTGGTACATTTCATATGATATCAAACTTGGTTCATGTGTTGATTGGTTTTGCTATATTGCTTTTCTTTTTTATCTTTTCCTTTTTTTTTTCTTTTTTTTTTTTTTTGGCAAGGCAGTCGGGGGTAAGTCAGTTGTGCAAGGTCACACAGCTAGTAAGTGTCAAGTATCTGAAGTCATATTTGAACTCAGGTCCTCCTGACTCCAACACTAGTACTCTCCTTTTTATGTTTGTTATAAGGAATGGCTTTCTGGGTAAAGTGGTGTGAAGAGAACAGGGGTAGGGAAAGCAGAGTGATAGATGTGGAAATGAAGGTAATTTAAAAATAAAAGATAGCAATAACATTTTCAATTAAAAATATTTTTCTGTTATCATTTACCATTTTCCTCCATAGTTTTCTGAAAGAATGGCTATCATTCTCTCTACAGATCCCAGAATAGCTCGGTGAATGATCACTGGCCTTGTCTTATCATCACCATCCTTACTGAAATAAAAATTACAGTGTTAGGCATTTTTTAATCTTTTAGTAATAATAACTACATTCTTGTCTTCCAGTTTTCTCCTTCACAAAACATGATAAAATGTTAAGTATCTGATATGCACTAAAATCTTTATGTACTATATTTTATTTGAAAATATGGTTCCCTCTGAAAAAGTGTTAGACGCATTTCAGAACACCAGAGTCTGTAATTAAAAAACAAAAAAGAATTGTTTTTATTATAACTCTCTTATAATGAAAAAGTAGTAATAAGTAGTTTAAAAATGTTCCATCTATTTTGGTACATGCATTTCAATTACTTTTGCAAAAGTTAATTATAAGAAACATTTTCAAAATAATCTTTGGATAAAACTCTCACTAAAAGGAAAACTCAATCAACCAAGCAATAAACATTTACTAAGTGCCTATCATGTGCCAGGCACTGTTAGGTTCTGGTGATACAAAGCCAAAAGTAAAACTAATTCTTACGCTCAAGAAGCTTACAGATCAATGAGGGAAACAATATGTTTGTGAATAGCTATATATAAAGCAGATACGAAGATACTGAGGGGAAGACATTAGCAACTACGGGCATTGGGAAAGGCCTCGTGGAGAAATGGTGCTTAAGCCAAGCCTTTAAATAAATTAGGGATTCTGAGAGACAGATGGGCGGAGGGAGCACATTCCAGGCATGTGAAACACCAGGGTGAAGAGTGTGGGGAAAGGAGGTGAAGGCAATGGGGACAGACAGCTTTTTCAAGAAGTTTGGCTGAAAAGGGAAAGCAAGCTATAGGACAATAACTTATGGAGACTAAGAAGGATGAACTCTAGACTGGTAGAGACCTTAAAGGCCATGTAGTCCAGCCCCCTCATTTTACAGAAACTGAAGCCCAAGGAGGTTAGGATTTGATGTCTTTGTCATTCATTTGCTCTATGCACTAGATTCTCCCTATGTAATGGAACACTTGTCAAAGCATTTAGCAATTATGGAATTAGTAACTGACAAGATACACAGAAAATGAGTCAGGAGTTTTAAAATTCAAACTGTTATTCTTGTTGGCTCCTTCTAGCACTTTTGTTGTCAGAGGAGTGAATGTGTATTCCTGGGCTATAAAACAAAGAAAACAATACTGGATTTTACAAATTACTTAATGTTTATAATATGGAATGAATATGAAAGTCATATGATTTGGTCTTCTACTGCTTCTGATTTCCGAAACGCTCCTTCAATATTTGTTTGGATAGTACTCTATCCATCAGGCTACAACAGGTCATGCTAGACTCACCTAACTTTCTTTTTTTTTTTTTTTGACAAAGTTACTACATTGGTACATCAAAGGAATGCTATAGAAAGAGCTGGCCTAGATTTCTGCAAAACATTTGATGAAGTGTCTCAGCCTAATCATATGGAAAAGATGGGGAGATCAACATTACAGTCAGATAGACTTGGTACTGGTTGGATAGCTGAACTATTCGGTGCAGTCATTAATAGACTGAAGTCCAATAGGAAAGATGTTTTGAGTACAGTAGCTCTGGGATACATATTTGACCCACTGCTGTTTACCTTTAATCAAAGATTTGTATAAAAGCATAAATATGCTTCTCAAATGTGTAGATGACACAAAGCCGGAGGGATAATTAACATACTATATGAGACCAAACAGGATACCAAAAGATCTTGCCCAGCGAAGTCCAATAAGATGAATTTGAGTAAGTCTTACATTTGGATTAAAAAAAAAATCAACTTTCAAGACAAGAGGAGTGAGGTATGGTTAGACAGCAGTCCCTGTTAAAAATCACTGAGATTTTAGTGGACTGCAAGCTCAGTTTGAAACAACAGTGTAATACAGAAGTCTAAAAAGTTACTACAATTTAGGTTGAATTGAAAGGTCTGATTTCCAGATAAAAAGGTGATGACAGACCTATTGTACTCTGCCCCAGTTGGAGTATTACTAATATGGTTTAGGCTGCATTAAGAAAAGCATTGTGTTCAAGACTAGAAGGTAATAGTCTTGCTACCCTGGTTAGATTAAATTTGGATTGCTGTCCAGATCTGGATGTTTCATTTTAAGAAAGATATTGATAATATAACATAAGGTCTCTAGGTCTCAGTTTCCTTGTATGTAAAATTATGAGTCTGGAATAGCTGACCTCTAAGGTATGTCATAATTCTAAGTTTGTGCACATAACCAATTATGTAAAGGATTCATAAGTAAAATTTAAATTAATATATCTATATGACGATTTTGTTTTATAAAAATGGAATTTCCATTGAAATGGTATCATGCAAAAATTGTATATCTAAAACTAAATGTGGCTGAGTAAAGAATGATCAAACATAAATTCAGTTCATAAGTTTGAGAGGCAGAAAACATGTTGGTATGGCTTATCACTAAGTTGGAATGGGGTGGAAGGAAAGAAAATAGGCTAGCTCTGATGTGTTTGTTTTAAGTGATGACAGAATCGTCAATCAAAAAATAAGCATTTATTAAGAACCTACCATATATCAGGTGAGGCAGTAGTCCCAATCTAATGTTTTTGTTTTATTAAGTAACAAAGAGACTGTCATCATTCAAAGGACAATTAAAATCAATTAAAATTATTATAGTACTTATGATAGTAATTCAACTACTCACCTAACATATGTAAGGTTAAATCTGATGGGTAGTTGGAAATCAAGCTGAATAGTGCCACACTGGTGGTACCTGCCAATGGCATCTTTGATTTTTATATCAATCTGTAAATTAAATTATTTTTTGTAAGATGCAAAGATTTTTCAACCTACATTTCATAAGCTATTTGAGAATTAATTTTACTTTACTTACTTTTGGTCCATAAAATGCTCCATCTCCTGGGTTTAATTTCCATGGCTCTCCAAATTCATTTAAGCTGTTTTGAAGTTGCTAATATTAAAAAAGAAGTAGAAGAAGAAGAAGAAGAGAACATTGTAACCCCTTATTGGACTGTAGATCTACTTTTTCCATGTATTATGCAGGAAGCTTCAAAAAAATATTTTATTGAATATGCATGTCACTTATGAGGTTAAGCAAGAATTACTGAAGTAAAGAATATGTGGGGGCAGCTAGATGGCACAGTAGATACAGCACTGGTACTGGATTCAGGAAGACCTGAGTTCAAATCTGGCCTTAGACACTTGACACTTACTAGCTGTGTGACCTAGGGCAAGTCACTTCACCCTACTGCCTCACCCCACCCCCCTAAAATGTGCCTTTAATATATATATATAAATTTATTTTAGTACAACTTAATATGCCTAAAAATAAATTTAAGCAGTAAAAATTTTAGCTAGAAAAAGATAAGAGTTTAAATAATTCAAAGTAAACTAATTTATCAGACACCCTTAATAATTTTTTATGCTGAAGGATAAAAAAGTAATAAGCACTCTATCCTTGGTTTTTTAAATACAAAGAAAGTTAAACCTGCTATGAAAAGAAGATTCTATAAAATAAATGTTTTAAAATCAACTCTCTGAATTTAAAAGTTTTATATTACTTTAAAACTTGAATAAATACAAAATGGTATACTGGTGATCCACCACTGAGTAAATTCCCATGATGTGTATGACAGCCCACAAGCCACCTAGGCTGGGGTAATCCAGTCCTATAAACAATTAACAGTGGAAAAAGAAATTATAATTGAAAAAAAATTCTGTTACAAAGTGATGAGGACTCACGAGGAACTAACATAAAAGGAAATGGCAAACTTTTTTTGGTTTGTACCTTTTCAGCTTGGTCCCATATTTCAATTTCTCCTAGGAAGTTTTCAGGCCGTGTAGAAAAATTTAATTGAAAGGAAAATCCAAATACTGTATAAACTGATTGTAAAAACTCTAAGCATCCCTTCATTTCTTCTTCAATCTGAAATTTAACCAAACAGTGAATTTAAAATGCTATGTTAATCACTGCTACCTATTTTTTCCCCTCAAAACTACTGAAAATTTTTTTGAAATTAGAAAAATGTCAAAAACTGCTGCATGTTTCTAGACAATACATTTTGTCACACCCCGCTAAAATTATACACCTTACTAAAATTACTTTTGGGCAGCTAAGTGGTGTGGTAGGTAGACAGCCAGGCCTGGAGTCAGGAAGACTTAAGTTCCAATCCAGCCTCAGACACTTACTAGCTGTGTGACCCTGGGCAAGTCATTTAACCCTGGTTGCCTCAGTTGCATCATCTGTAAAATGAGCGGGAGAAGAAATGGCAAACCACTCAGTCTCTTTGCCAAGAAAACCCCAAATGGGGTCACGAAGAGTTGCATATGACTGAAACAACTGAACAACTAAAATTACTTGTTACTGAAGAGACTTCAGTTAGTAATTAGGTTTATTAAAAAACATATAAAAGTAACAGTGCATTTATGCGATGAAATTTCTAAGAAGACTACTAAATGTCAATCTTTCTATGCTTCACAATTTCATCAATTTTATTATTGATGTTTATATCTCAGAAAATGAGCTCTTAATTATAAATAACTCAGGAAAACCAAAATAATTGATACAAACATGTATAAAAACCTCCCATGTGTTCTATTAGAACAATTAAAATTAAATAGTTACTATTTTAGAAGGAAACTGAAGAGAAAAGAATAAAGCAGGTGAAAACTATAGAATAGATTGCTGCTCTACTGATTCAGTTTGGCTTTGTATTTGTGCTTACTTGCTCCATCATGCAGAAGATGTGCGCATCATCCTGTTGGAATCGTCTGACACGTGTTAAACCACTTAAAGTTCCAGACAGCTCATTCCGATGAAGAACTCCAAAATCAGCTATTCTGATAGGCATTTCCCTCCAGGAACGTGGACGATGAGCAAACATCAGACTAAGACAGATGCAATTATATGAAGATTGTACATAGTACAGAAAAATAAAGTGACTCTCTAAAGACTATCTGCTTAAAATTGGAATTCAAGATGGAAATCTTGAATTCCTCAACCTGCTTCAAGGGCACAAACATGATTATAATAGCTATTTCTTATGAGTCTTACTGAATCATATGTCATAGCATCAGACTGAGGGAGAAAAAGCCACATCAAATATATAGCCAAAAGGATCTCTCTTCCTCAGAGAGCACGTCTAACTTCCAACTGTCTCAACAAATAGAGAAATGACATAGCTCCATGTTCTTAGAGTGGATCAATTATTCTACAACCTATCATTTCAGACCCCATTAAGCATTTCAACTGAGCCTCATAATAGGCTTGAAACTACTGATTGAGAGTCAAATGTCTTCATAACCATCTCATGTATGGAGAGACAGAGAGACAGAGAGACAGAGAGTTAGAATGGAAGCAACTTGAAAGGAGATATTGTTCCATGTTTTGGTCTTTGAATCATCAATGCCTAGCATGGTGCCTGACATATAGTGGATGCTTAATAAATGCTGGTTGATTGAAAAAAATTTAAGTATAGAAATAAACAATTATTGCCTAAGGAGTAATCCCCCCCCATCAAAACAAAAACCTCAAACTCTCCAGTTAACTATTTTACTCCTGCCAATGACTAAGCATATTTTAAAGTAAAAATTGTGAAATGAAATAAACCAATAAAAATTTTACCAAGAATTCTTTTAAAAAGGACCTCTATAGAAGAAACCTCTTCAGAACAAACCCAACAAATAGTAACACAAAAAATGTAAGGATGTATCTATATGTATACAAAAATACATAAAGTTGAATATTCATTTGAAATAAGCATGGACATTTGAAATTAGATTGAAAATACTAACCAGTGTCCTGGACAGTTCATGGGTTTAAGTGCAAACGTCTCCTTCTCAACATCAAATGAAAACATGTTTTCACTATAATGCTGCCAGTGACCTGATGTTTCCCAGAGTTTACAATTGTAGACATTAGGAGACACCACTTCTGTAAAATTACGCTGATGATATTCCTCCTATGAAATATGTTAATTTAAAGAAAAAAATTAAGGAGTAAATCTCCTTCAAGCAAAATAAAACTAGCAATGTATATTTTATAACTTATGATCATATTTGACACTAACCATTGGCTAAATGATCCCTGACACTAAGATCCAGGAAAAATGTTTATCCAAATTTCAAATGATGAGAAAACTGTACTTGACGCTATTTTTTTTTTATAAGAAAGGGACAAATTACAAGTATACAAGAAGAACTTAGGGATTCATTTTTACCATGGTGAACTTTTTTTTTAACTGGCATGTCAACCAACACATCAATTGCTTTGCCAGTATATGCGTCATTCCACACACAAAGTTCCCCACCTCTCCAATGCAAGGAGGAAGGTGAATTTTTTAGAGGTTAATTTTTTTTTTTACATCAACTACCAAGGGACAACATGGGGTCAATATGGATTAAGCCCAATGTCCCATACGTAACACATCTACAATATTCTATAATGATTACTAATGCTCATAATGATGGCTCTAAGGTGAAAATGATAATGAAGATCCTGATATGCTTTTTGAATCATATAAAAATATTAAATTACATCTGTCATGGTCCCATGTTACATATTTCATTGTTATTTAATTCTTTAAAACAAAAATCCATCTATAGGTTACTATATATACTAATTTTCAATGAACTAGAATAGTAATTAATAAGAAACCTTTTCTGTGACTATTCTGTATAAAAATAATTTACTTTATGTTCTTTAGATAGTTTGTGGCCAAGAGTCATTATACCTAAATTCCATAGTCTTTGCTACTTTCCAATTTTAATTGAAAAATTTTAAACTATAAAAAGTTAAGTGGTGAAGGTTCATTACCTAAAAGTAGAAGGCTCTCCCCATATATGTGGTAATAATAAATTAATAATAGATATTAATAACTGACATTTACATGGCATTTTAAAACACTTTATATACATTATCTTATTTGATCATTAATGAAGTCTAACAGAGATCACCTATTTACTAATAACACCCATTATGGAATCACTAGAAATGAGAATTAGTTCCAGAGAATATCTATCTTGAATCCCTTTTTGTTTTTAAAACAAGAAGACCTGAGTATTCTGGCCTTTTGGGCAACATGTATGACAAAATGTTTTAAACCTCTTTACCTGATGAGGAATTTTTTTCTTTTCTTCTTTTTTTTTTTTTTTGCATGGGAAGTACTATTAAATCCAATCAAATTTTGTTTAAGTGCCTACTATTTGCAAAATGTCACATAGCTCCTGTTTAATGGTTCCTTACTGTCTAATGAGTGAATGTCAGACTCTTTTACTGCCACTCAATGGTGTGATTCTACAATCACACTACCTCTCCAGTCTTAGTCTCATAATAAACTCCCCATTATGCACTCTAAGATCCAGATGAACTAGACTATTTTCCAGTCATCTAAACACACCCCATGTTTCCCCAGTTCCCTGTGTTTGTTCACCCTGTTATCTATGCCTCAGATGTTCTTCTTTCTCTCTTATACATTTAAGTCCAAGTCAAATGTTACCTACTTTAGGAAGGCTTCCTTGACTTTGTTATCAGTAATGAATTTGACCCACTTTATCTGCACTTCTCTAATGCACTCATGTATTATTCTGTACTCTGGTTTTTTGTGTATGTGAATACATCTTCTTATTAAACTAAACTCCACAAAGATCAGACCCATAGATTATATACATTTTATACTTCACCCAGTGCCTTGCACGGTACATTATATATCGTCTACACTTAAAATTTTGTTGAATGGATGCTTTTACAAGTCACTCTCTTAACTCTAAGGGGAGAATTCTTAAACAGATAAGGGATAGACAGTCACACAAAATAAAAGGCCATTTTAATTACATGAAATTGAAAAGTTTTTACACAAATGTGACAAGGATAAAGGGAAACTGTCAATAACAAAAAACCATTTTCTATCAATTATCTCTGAAAAGGGTATGATATCAAACATATATAGGGATCTAACACAAATATATATGACCAAGAGTCATTGCTCAGTGGGTAAGTAGTTAGAGGATGTGAACAAACAATTTTCAAAAGAAAAAGACATGTGGTCTTACATCAAACCCAGAAAACTGGCAAAAAAGACATGAGATGGAAAGAGTTTATGTTGGAGAGACTTTCAGAAGACAAGCACATACATCAACATACTGTTGATGGAGCTGTGCATTTGGTATAATCATTCTGGAAAAACAATTTGGATTTATGCTAAGAAAATAAGAAAAATGTTCATGCTCTTTAACCCAGAGATCCCACTGTTAGGCATATATTCTAAAGAGATTAAAAAAAAAACATTTCATATATATTCCAACATATTCACCACAGCACTTTTTTGTAATACAAAAGAACTGGAAACAAAGTAGATAACCGTCAGTTGGGGAACGGCTAAATAAACGGTGGTCTGTGAATGCAGTAGAACATTGTATTCATAAATAAATATGAAGAATATAAAGTATGTATGGGAAGAATTACATGAACTGAAGGGAAGGGAGGTAAGCTGAAGCAGGAAAACAATAAACATAATGACTATATCAACGTCAATGGAAACAGCAACAACAAAAGCAAAACTGAACACTGTATAATTATAATAGCCAAGCTTGGCTCCCAAGAATAGATGAGCAAATATATTTCCCTCCCTTCTTTGCAGAAGTGGAGAACTATGGATGCGGAACTCTGTATACACTTTCAGATTCTGTTGATGTGTCAGTTTATTTTGCTGAGTTACTTATTTTCCTCTCTTTTTTATTCTTTGTTACAAGAGATGATCTTTTAGGTGGGTAAAGGTGAGGGATATATTTTGAAATGAAGATAATATAAAACCAAAAAAGGTCAAAAAATTTTGAAGGCACTATGCTAGGCAAGAGATACAAAGATGAAATGAGACAATGACCTAATTTATCATTCTGCTTAATAAATATAACCATAATCTTTGATTTTGTATATAGATCTTAGATACAATTTGGAAAATATATGTTCAGGAAAAATCCAAACATTTGCATTTTTCTTAGGGAAAATAAACATGTTTCCCATTTTTAAAAAAAATTACATAGCAAACTCTTTGGATTGAAAGTTAGATGACCTAAATTCTAATCCTAGCTCTGTTCCTACCTATATAAGCTTGGTCAAATCATCTTGCCTTTAGTTTCCTCATCTGTAAAATTAGGGAGGTGAACTAGATAATCTTGAGGGTTCTTTTTAACTCTAGAACCTACGATGACGTATTAGCCTGAAAATCACTAACGCGTTGAAAACAGAATTAATCAAAGTAGTTTGGAATTTTTCATTAACTATGTTTACTAAAAAAGGAAAATAAAGTGCAAAGGGACTAATATTTTAACGTTCATGTACCTAAAATGAAGATAACAAATGCTAACCAAGCAATACTAAAAAATAATAAATCCACTTACTTTTATGAAGTTCACGAGTGTATTATAGATAAAAGCTCCTCTTGGAAGGAAAAAACAGCTGCCCGGGCTCAGATCATGAAAAAAGAAAAGTTCCTGTTCCTACATTGAAACAATCATATGTCAAGTTTAGTACTTTTTAAAATTTGAATACTCATATCAGGTACAAAACAGAAAATTTCTACTATATAATCCACGCTTCTCATATATTGCTGAAACATATAATCCCATATATGAAAATGTAATTCCTTTTTAATAGTTTAAGATTGGATTTTCTTTGCATTGTTAAGCTTTCGTTTTCTCTTTTCTTTAATTTTCTTACATATTTCTAGTTTTCTTACTTTGTAATGCCTGATATGTATTTTATGAAGAAATTATTGATTAATAAAGTATTTTGAAGGAAAAGTAATCATTACCCAACCAATTCAGATTGAAGTGGTTTCTCGCACAAGGCAGATCCTAAGTAGAGGTTACCTCATCTGGGATAGATATTGTGTAGAATAATTTTAATTATTCAAGAAGAAGGCTTTTAAAAGAGACAAACACAATTTTCAATGTGCAATAAGTGAATATGCAGAGATAGCTGATAGGATATAAGATGCTAATTTCAACTGCAAGGAAAGAAATTGGAGTGGGACAGTAAGGCAGGTGCAGAAATTAGTAGTTTGTCTTTTTTGAAGTCAAACAAGGGGGAAAAGTAGAAGACAAGGGAAGATTACTATAAAAGAATTTAGCTTTACATGACACATTTTAGGCCTACCAATGGTGACATGATTGTTGTTCGTTCTTCATTTTTTTTTTCTTCAGCCAAAGACAAAGTTTATTAAAGATCCACCATACTGGCCAGACTCTTAAGGAATCTGAACATTTGTGAACTATTGGCTAGGTTCTTAAGGAATCTGAGCACCTTAAGGGCAAGATGGACCTTATATACAGAAAGACTATGGGAGGGATCTAGGAGTGGCCAAGTAGTCTGAGGGGACTCTGAGGTAATAGATTGCTAAGGACCTGGATGTGGCCAAGGGAGAATGGAGTTTAGATAGAATTAAGGGTGGGAGGTATGACTAGAAGGCTAGGAACAGAGAATTGGGACATTAGGAGTAGGAACAGCCAGTTGATAGGATTATACCTTTAGGCATAGGTGATAAGGAAAGGCCAGTTGATGGGATTACACCTTCAGAGGCTTCCTTGATCAAGTAAGAGAATTCAAGGACAGTCCAAGGGTTTTCTAGGGCCTACAGACAAACAGGGCCCAAACTGGGACAAAGGTCTTGGCTTGGGCCCGTACCTCATCATTCCTCCCTCACATGAATGGGACCCAAATTCTTTTGGGGTAAAGGGCGAAGGTCTCGGTTTCTGAAACTGCTTCCTGCTCGCAATGACTGTAGAGCTGTCCTTGCCTCACTGGGTCCCGTTCAAGGGGTCAGACTTTAGAACACGGCTGACACCAGGTCCAGTGGGCTAGAAACCTTGGACTCAGTTGGAGGTTGGTATATATTATCTGGAAGTTGATGGCTCTGACCCTCCCAGTCTCAGCTGGAGAAGAACTTGGGATGAGGCAGTTCTTCCTGGTCAGGGAAACCTATGTTGAGGTCTAGAGGTTTAGGGGTACTGGGACCCCAAAATCACAACACAGTCCTGCCCGAATGAATTTGACCCAAGCCTTTCAGCCACAGACAAGGTTTATTAAAAATCTGCCATACTGGCCAGACTCTTAAGGAATCTGAACATTTTAGAGCTATTGGCTAGGTTCTTAAGGAATCTGAGTCTCGTCCTTCATTTTCAAAGGTGACCAATGGTATCACAGGATGATGTCTTGACTTGAGCGTGAATTGAATTTAAGTGAGGCAGAGTTATGCAAAGTCATCGGCCTCACTCTCTCCTCCAGAGTCATCAAAGTCCAGGAGAAAGACAAAACTCAAGATGACTGGCCGTGGCCCAGAACGCAGTGGATGACCTTCGTGTCTCCCGTGCCTGACCAAGTGCTAAGTGATCCACGGCGCCTGCTTCAGCTGCCTTCATGGCCACTGGAACAAACTGTTCTCATCCACCTGTTCTGCTGGGGGAAGTCTTCACATGTTTGGGGTAGACATCCCCCTAACTCACCAATGGGTTTGAAGACTGTCATTACTCCCAACCTGGTTTAGTCCATCTGCCAAGACAGTTTACTAGGGTGTGGTTGCTGCACATGCTACACCTTCTTGGAGCTACAGGTGAGAATTGAGTGCCAGGTAGACACCAAAGGTGGATGAGCAGCCCTGACAAGAGTGCAGCAAGCCTTCACACCAGACGTACTAATCCTCCCCAAACAGCCCATACATTCCATTAAAATTAATGTTGTTTTATTAGTAGCAATTATGTATTTGGGGCATACCTTTCCAATTTTCCTATGATCTCTGTTTTTTGCTTCCTCTTGGAACTTTTCCCAAGTTTTCATCATCTTATTATCAGGAAAAGATATTCCATAGATCCTTTGCAAAGTCTCCATGTCAGCCTTTCCTTCCCAATAGGTTGAGGAATTCTAAGATTCAAACAGGAAGGAATGTATATTTTATTAACCATAACAAACATTTTTGAGAAATAAAGCATTTTTAATATATTCACAATTTTCTAATTATGATAGCGATACCAAAATTATGAAAGAGGTTTTTCCTGTAGTATTTTTTTTTTATTCAGTCAAATTCTCTTGCTAGGCATAAGCCCCAAAGAGATAAAAAATAAAAGGGTTCCATATATATCAAAAAAATTATAACATTTCATGCTAAATTACAGCATATGATGAAACATTATGAAATTACATATCAAGAAACAGAGATTATATACAGCGTTTGCATTAATGTGAAAGGAGAGCAATTATAACTATTAGCCAAATAAAGATTTCACAAAATTTAAAATTACATTATTCCCAAAAGAAAATGCAAAAACCAATAAAGGAAATAAAATATCTTAAAGTACTAGGGTGGGAAAATTTTTTAAAAAAATATGATAGCCATCTTTTAATTTGTCTTCAGTTAATATTATTAGAAATATAAATGCTTACCTTAAATATTTTTATGGCTTTAATTTTTCCAGTGTGTCTTACATGTGGACCTCTACAAAGGTCAATCAGTGGACCACATCTATAATGCAATTATTGAGATATTCAGGCAGAGTTGTTGTTATTTTGACTACTCAGTATATGTATGCACTACCATGTGTTTATTGCATTGGCTTTTATATACTTGTAAAGTATTATTATAGCAATTTTTTTTGTTGTTGCAGAGACTTTACTGTTTTTTCTCAATCTTTCAAATAAAATTCGATGTAGAAAATTTCAGTGTCTGGTAGGAAGAAGGTAATGATTTAACCTAACCTCAGAAAGTCATATCTTAGTCTACACCTACCTTCCTGAAACCAAAAACTGCAGCACACCCTACAAGATACACAACTCATGTAAACAAAACAAAATGTAGATTTTGAATTTCTATACCCTAGTGAGTCTTTCAGTGATCCTAAAATTATAAAAGCACCTTTCCTATACCACATGAATTCCTAATACCAATCAGTCAACCAAGTGATATTTTTGAAGTGCCTCCTATATGCCAATCACTGGATTAGGCACTGTAAAGCTTCTAGAAGTTTCCTGTGATATCACTCTTCCAACTCCCCACTTAAGAAAAGAGGAAACTGAGGCCCAGACAAGTTAAGTGGCTTGTCCAAAATCACACAGGCAGAATCAGAATTCAAAACCATACCTTCTGACTCCAATCCAAAACTCATTCTATGATGCTTCTACAAGGTCAAATATACCAAGGTCAGATTGCATGAAAAGTAAAACATCTCTTTGAAAATGAACTTTGAGTTTTACTGTTTTATATCAAAGGTAATGAAGTTCTGCGAAGAGTTTACTGCTTTCCAGTTTACTGAAATATGACCAATAGTAATTTATACATAGAAATTAGTAAAATTATCAGAGCAGAGAATACTAGCACCAAAACCTGCTTGTGCTAGGTAATCAGCCCATGACAAGCATCAGATTTTTATATTTTTATATTTTATAACTAGGGATTATTCATTCCTTTAACCCCAATTCTCTTGTAAGTTGTGTCTACGTTTGAAATGATTTCTAGAAACAAACTTTTCAAAACACTTAATGAACTTTAAATATACAGAGAGGAAGCAAAGTGGAGTGGGAAGACCCAGTGTGACAAAATCAATGAATTTTTAAAATAATGTAAAGAAAATATGTATACTGACAATTCTAAACAGTTTCACTGTTAGTAAGGCCCAGGCCATTTCTAGTAATATCACCAAATCTATGGCAATGCCAAGCTCTTTCCTGTGGAAAATGATGGAATGGAGGAAAATTATAAAACAGATTTTATAGCTTCAAAGTCAAGATCAAAGCTATCACTAATGTAAGAAGGAAGGTTGGAAAGATGGAAAGAAGTGACTTCCACAGGAAAAGCTTACAGATAGTCAACTCATCGTGTTCACTGTTCAATGTTGTACCAAATGCTGGGAAGTAGAGAGAGGCCCATGCCAAGTATTCTACAGATCACCTGGTGACCCAAGGTGTGCCAACTGTGTATCAGTTCCCTTATTCAAAAGGCTGATACTTTTAACTCTGGGAGATAGAGTGAAAGCACAAGATGGGGCAGAAAAAACAATGATTAAGGATGTTGATAGCAAGTTTCTGGAGCCTCTCTTCTTAAGTGTGACAGAGTGAAAGCAGAGGCCTAGAAGTGTCTACTCCTAGTTCTCAGTATTTTAAGATAGAAGGAACCTTAGAAATCATATAGTCCCACCTTTTCATATGACACCTACACTTATTTTTCTCAACGTTAATAAAAAACTAGCCCATATAGGGAACACAGCTTCAGTTACCAGAAAAGAGACAGCCAAATTCAACAACTACAGAAAAGAAGGCTTTCCAACTTTACCTGATAAATGAAGGGGGAGGATGGAAATACTCCACAATGATGACATTTGTGTGGCCTTCCTTAAGGGTGTATAATAATATAACATTATTAAAATTATATATGTACATATTTTTTCATTCATCCATTTTGAACAAAGGGTATTTTTTAATGTGTCTTTAATAAATGATGGTAATTTAACAGCACAAAGTTAAGAACAGGTTGCCTTAAGAGGGACATTTTTCTAGTGCTTACTAATAATGTAGTATTTAGAAATGAGCTGTTTGTTAATCATGTGCCCTTTACCTGTATACTGTGGTAGTTGGGGTATCAACCTTCTCATTCAGGATTCGGCATTTAAATTTATTGTACTACAAAGAAAACATGCATATTAGCACATAAACTATTTAAGTAAAAACACCTGTATTCCATAAAAAAGATAATACATTGGATGTAGAAAAAAGGTCAAAGGGCAAAGCTTCATTATTAATTTATCTAAACATAGAAGATGATAAAAAAAAATTAATGGCAAAATATTTATTGGTATTGTTATGCCTTCATTTCTGCATTGTACAAGGTATTTTGTATAAATATCTATTTAATGGATATAGCTATGAATTGATCAGTGTTAATTTGACTTCATATCTATAAACTGTAAGAGAAATACTCAGCAAATTCTTCCCCTGTATTGAGACTTTATTGGGCTATCATCCTTAAAGCATCCATAACATATACATTAACAAGTAGAATATAGAGACTCCTTTCCAACCCAACTAAACAAATTCCTTACTCTTTGTACAGTATTTGGACTATAAGAACAATGCTTTTTTTAATGTACAATTTTTTAAATAAAATTATCAATATTTATAAACAAAGATGTCATAGAAACAAGACAGACACAAATGAAAGGCAGAGATTGCCAGATTTACACTTAACATAATTTAAAAGAAAAACAAGAAAATCCAGAGAAAATAGCAAAAACTGAGATTATATATTAAATTATAAAAACAGTTGAATAAAGATGGTATCCTTACAAAGTTAAATAAGTTATAAAAACACACAAAAATTATCCACCTGATCCTTTATCTATCTGCCTCTCTATGAGAAATAAAGCTGAGTTCCAATCAGGGAAGAATGTGTGACCCTTTAGTCCAATGATTTTAATTTACTTAATTTTACATTGGCAGTTTAATCCTTTCAACAGCTTTCTTTCCACCAATAGTGACATAAAGCTAGATTAGTGCCATGGATAGATACCCCTCTCTTACCTATTTTTAGAATTATCACAAAATATAGGGGTAGGTAAATGCAGAAGTGACTGGTTCTGTTCATTTACCCACAGAACCCACTGCCAAACAATCTGAAAAAATATTTCAGTAGTTACAGAAATTAAGGTTGGGGTTTTTTGTAAAATTGTTAAGACACCTGCATTATTCTTAAATTCATGAGTTGAATGCTTCTAAATATTAAGAGTTGTTTAACAATTTACCTTAAACATGTCCAGAAGGATTTCTTTGCTGATTTCTAACCTTTCAAAAGGTTGCTTCTCTTTCATGATAGTTTTACACATATTCTCTAATATTGGAAATTCTGTACTGGACACTCCTCTAAACAGAAAATAGTATTTTTATTAATAAGAGTAAAAATTAACTTTGAGAAGACATTGTATATTATCTTCCTAAATGACTTCTAATTATGTTTTATATTTCTAATTGTGACATTTTGTAAGCATAAAAAATTGGAGGGCATCAAGGGAACTTTACTTGATCCTTTAAAATTTCTAAAGTATAAGGAGACATTTCCATTTCAAAAAAGGGGAGAAGGAGAAGAGGCTAAGACATTTGCCTATAAACCAGAAATAACTGATGAGAGCATCAAATTATTCTGCTAGACCATAAGAAAACATAATCCTGTAGTTATAATTTTGTATTCAAGGGACACTGCTGTCTTGAGGTAATCAAAATGTTTTCTCAATTAATCTTTTAAAATTTCTCACTTCAAAGTCAAATTCCATACACTTTTTATTTAGCCATTTTTTAATCATAACTGAAGTGAAAAGTGAAATAATTTTTGTATTCTTGCCTTGCAGTTCTAAATCTATGATCCTAATATTTGAATAAAATATTTCTATTACGATTAAGACATTTGCCAGATTGAAAGTACAAAGGATAGAATAATCGCATCAAAATGTTATATGAAAAATAAACCAAAGCCAAAATAATTACTAACTTCAAAACAGCCATAAATGTGCTAAATGTATTGATTTATGTTTTGGTTCTTGTGATTTCCACTTTCTGGAAGACCTCCACTCTGGCCTTCAACCTATCTGTCTAAAATTTAATAGAAGGATTTGTTCTGTGAAGTTTGGATTCAATCAAAGGGCCGCACTTGAGGACCTAGAAGGCCACATGTGGTCTCGAGGCCACAGGTTCCCCACCTCTGGTCTAAATCATCTTTCTAGGCCTTCTCAAGTTTTACATCTATGAAGTTCCTCTTTGAAGCCTTTACTAACTTCTCCAACCTATACTTATCTTCTCCTTTCCTGAATTCCTGCCAAACCAAGATATTTGTTGATTTATGTTGTTCTCTAATTATTTCTTCTCTTTGGTAGTCTTTTTATCTTGACAAACTATGATATTTGGTACCCTAAAGGAGTCACGAAAATGAGTGATGGTTTCCTACTTAAGCATAGGAACCATGATTTGACTTTCTTTTTAGCCTTCACAGTACCAAGCACAGAACTGGGCCAACAGTAGGTACTGGCATAATAATAACTCAGTTTTCTAAGCCTTATCTACTAATACTGTCCTTCCACATATTTCAAGCTTCAACCCAACTGTACTACTCAAAGCTCCCCATACAGACACTTCCCTATCTCCAAGCCTTTGTTCATCCTGTGCCTGCCACTCTTGGCCTAATGTATTCCTATTCGTGTTAAAGCCCAACTCAAATGCTACTTCCTCCAGGAAGCCTTCCTTGATTTCTGTCCACCCTAAATTCATTCATTCAACAAGTATTTCTTAAGCAGTTACTATCTGTCTAGTATTTTGCTATACAGTTGCTAATAACCTTTCTCCCTTTGATTTTCATATAGCACTCTATTGACATATCTCCTATGTACTTATTAATATATATATAGTTATATATACATAGTTTCATATATATATATATAGTTATATAGTTTTCTGTGTATATATGTCTTGGCTCCCTACCAGACTTTAAGCCTCTTGAAGATGATGTCTTTAAACTAAACTTTTTATCTCATCCAGTTGTCCAGCAAAATGACTTGCACACAGTAGGTGCCTAATGTTTCTTTAACTGCAATGAATACCCTCCAAAAATGACAAAAAGAATAAGACTAGTCAATTTGTAACCATATCAATCAATATTCTTCACATTCTGATAGTCAGTATACTCACAGGAAGCACGAAATTAATTAAATGTTACCTGTCTTCAATGTACATGTCATAATAAAATCCATTTTCAATAGGTGGACCATAGCACAAGCAGCCTCCATAATAACTTTCCATAGCTTCTCCAAGAATATGAGCACTAGAATGCCAGTATACCTATAGGCCATGTAAAGAAAGAATATGTTAAAAAATAAATGCAATAATAAAAATAGCTAACATTTATATAGTATTTATGTAACATTTATATAGCAAATATAACATTTAAGGTCTATGAAGCATTTTACATATATTATCTCATTTAAACCTCCCAACAACCCTGTAGAGATCAAAAAATTACTTGCTAATGCTCTCCAAATGCAACACTAGACTTAAGTTCTTTAAATATGGCAGAAGAATAAATACAGATAAAGTTCTGACACAGCATCCATTAAGGAATTTAATAAAAGTTGGTTGACTTTTCAGTAATAATACTCATCTGTGTAACAGAGCAAGAAATTCAGTCCTTTGCTCCTACACATGGCGAGAAGAGGCTCTTCCATATCCTCTCTGGTACTGAGCCCCAGAAATGTCTACTGTCTAGCTCCAAGACTTCAGCTGTTCTTCCTACAGAATCAGGATAGGGACTGGTGCTATAATCTCCCTTATATAAGAAACTCCATACAACTGCAAGTCTTATAGTCTTGAGAGTTGTCTAGAGCCCTAGTATTGGGCTATAGGAGAGGCTACACAACCAGTGTTGTCAGAGGCAGGACTTGAAACCAAGTGTTCCCAGTTCCAAGATGGGCTCTGTCTATTATGGCAGGCCACGTGCCTCACTTATGGCCAGGGATTCATGCTCAGTTGGCAAACAATACTTTCCTGTTCACATTACAGGGACCATATCTTATTTATCCTTGTATCTCTCCCAGCACCTTCCACAGCAATTTTCATTTAATAAAGATTTGTTCTCTTCACCTTTGCCTCTTAGAATCCCTAGCTTCCCTCAAACTTCAGCTCAATTGCCCCTTTTTATGTGAGACCTTTACTGATCTCCCTGCTGCCATTGTCTTCACTTCCTCCCTATCATCTTGTGCTTATTTTGTATGTTTCAATATATACATGATATCACCCTGATAGAATGTAAGCTCTCTGAGGGTAGAGGCTGTTTCATTTTTTTGTCTTCATATCCCCAACACCTGGGATAATACTTGGCATATAAAAAGCACTTAATAAACACCTATCAATTGACTGGTTTGTTGAATGAGTGAATTAATTAATTGATATGGAGTGTAGATACAATCCTCCACAATTCTCACAGAACATTGGAACAAAATAACTTTATAAAGAACTTTGACCCATTTCTGTGTCATCTCTAAGGGTAATGCCCTCTAACCTATGAGGCAGAGAATCGAGCAAGTTGTTTGCTTTCAGTGCTATTAAAATAACTAAATGATACATCCACACACATTAAACAATTTCATACACCTCTACAGAACATTTAGCCACCAATCTATGACATTCCTATCTTTAGATAAATGGGCATTTGTTGAATTCTGAGTATAACCAATTTTATCTAAAATGGAGTAAAGCTTTTTTAAAGTTTAATTTTTGATTTGCAATTTTGATTCTATATAACTGTAAAATATGTGCATATCATATATATTACATAGATTATATATTTGTACATATGTATAAAATCATATGTGTATGTACATGTATATGACATATACATATATGCATACATTAAGTTTAGAAACTAATACAACAACTATTAGTGTTCTGAATGGATAGGGAGAATCCATATAGTATTATTGGGAGAACTTTAAAACCTGCAACACACGATGCAAAACATTATCCTTTCTTATTTTTAGAGGCGTGTATTTTTACACCTCCAAATGGGAGGTGTTTATGTTTTCTTAGGCATGAAATCACAGCTGCGCACCACGGTTAAACTTGTAAACTCCTGGGATATTACCAGAAAGTTCAAACCAGTCCAATAACATTAACCATTCAAACTCTTAGGCACCTCTGGCATTAAGGCATTTGCACAACTATGGACCACTCACCCAACCTCTCTGAGATCAGTTTGGATCAGAGCTGTCAAACTCTTGGTCTGGGAGCCACAATTAGGGTCATAGTCTACAAAGTACAACTTGCACCAGATTGAAATGTAATTGGGAAATGTTGAATGAAATAAACAAAAATACAATATAACATAGACAATATTAATTTGTAGTTTTGTAAATTAATACACAGCCCACAGGGATCAATTTTTATTTGAGTTTGACACCATTGGATTAGAGGAATACTGAAGTCCCTTCTAGCTCTAAAATCACATGTTTTCTATCAGGCATAATGATTTAGTGGTACAGCTTTTACCTTTGAAAAAAATAAACAGAAAGCTAAATATACTTTTTTTTCCCTGGCTAGTGACATATCCAAAAAGGCATCATCAACACAAGGATAACAGATAAGGATTAGCTGAATGAACTAGAAATGTTTAGCCTGCAGAAGGAAGACTAAGGCAGGACATACTAGCAGTCTTCAAATATCTGAAGGAATATCATATAGAAGAGGGAGCGGGTTGGTTTCTACTTGGTTTCAGGTCATAGAATGAAAGTTACAGGGTGGTAAAATTCAGCTCAGTCTACAGAAAAATTTCCTAACAATTACAGTTGCCCCCAAATAGAACAGACTATCTAGAATAACTGGAAATTTCAGTCACTGCAGATATTTAAGAGGAGATTGGATGATTCCTTTGCTGAAATGATATAAATATGATTTATAATTTGCATGGGAATCAGACTGACCTCTGAGGTTACTTGTAGTTCTATGATACTATGAATTTTTAGCTTGAAAAATAATCTTATGGTAGCATGAAATACCATTTAGTGTGTGTATGTATGTATGTATGTATGTATGTATGTATGTATGTATGTGGGTATATATACATATATACATACACATGATGTACATACATCTATATTAATATATACCTATGCTATACTAAGTATCTATCTATACCCATACTATAGCATAGGTATACATATGTACATCTATATATACCTATACTAAATGGCATAGGTATATATAGATATACATATGTGTACCTATATTGAAAGGCATTCTATGCTACCATAAAACAAATTATAAGTATGTATAAATGTACATATAGATCTCTATATAGTTTATATAGAAACATGTAGCTGGCTAAAAAACTAACAATAATAATGACCTGAGGATCATGCAGTCCCAAGGATAGAGAGATAGATGGATAGGTAGATAGATAGATAAATATAGATACAGATACAGATATATCTATATAGAGATGCAATAATAGATATAGCTATAAATATGTGTATATGTATACTCACATGTATGTGTATATATATGTGTGTATATATATATATATATTTATATATCCATACAGATATAGAGAAGATATAGAGATAGTATATCTAGATATAGAGAAGTATATTCCTCTATTTCCTCTTTAGAATACAAAATTAGGGAGAGTACAGTCTTTAATTTACAGCACAGAGCTAACTGTAGGTATGTTTAACCCTTCATACTACATGCCTTCTAAGATTTGTCAATGAAGTTCTCATAAAGAAATTTGTTACCATAAAGTAATTTGTTTCTTAAACAAATACTTAAATCAATTTTCTAAAGTAAATAATGCTTTAATAAAATGACTAATAAAATAAATAGTTCTATAAATCTGGATTTTGTATAATGGCTTTCCTTAAAGCACAGAACACTGGTACAATGCTGTCTATCAATGGGCATTCAACAAATGTTTGTTTATTGACTAGCATTTAGAGTCATAGTTTGCTGTTGGTGAGTAATGGGAATATTATAAACACACACAAGAACAAAAATGGTCTGTTAATGTCATCGAAGACACATTATGTTCATACGGGAAAAAACAAGCAGAAGACATAAACAGGTGTCTATGAAAAACTTTAGAATTAAATGGACCTCAATATTATTATTGTCACACGAGGAAAATTAAGTTGGAACTGGTCAGTCTACAAAACATGTTCAGCAGCATTTTGAGAGAAAAAAAAATGTTTATCTTCTGTCTGTCTATGTAGCATCCCGTGTTTCTGTCCCTGGCCTGTGTGTTCCTCCTCCTACTCTCACTTCTCTATCCCTAGCCCCTATGTGTCCTTGAACCGTGTGTGGGCCAATCCTTTCCCACTACAGGCCTTTCCTTCCTCATATTAGCAGGCTAGTTCACATTGAATAAAAATCACTTTACACAGTGGTCTGCAGAACGGTCCACTTACATAAAGCAAGAACTGTCTGCATATGTATTGAACATCAATTATATAAATGTTAACTCTTAGAGCAGAGGTGCCAAACTCGTAGCTTACAGAACTCCCAAAATGCTGCTAACTGAACCAGATTAAAATGTAACTGGGAAATGTTTAACAAAATAAATTAAAATATGATATACCATAATGTTAATTTGTGATTTTCTAAGTCAATATACAACTCACAGGGATCCATTACTATTTGTGTGACACCACTGTCTTAAAATACCACAAGAACAAATCTCTAAATTTCAATGCGCTGCTTTTTACATAATAGAGCTTTTAAGTGAAATTTAGAAATCAGTTCTTAAAATATACTTACAGCCTGAGCTTCCTCATTATCAAACCTAAGTAACTCTATTGTAGAATCTTCTTCCAATGGACGATCCAAATCCCACAATTCACCATTTACTTTGGCTATTACTGTGTTATCAGCCAGTCCTTGACTAACAAAGGAAAATAATTTTGAAATTAATTATAGTCTACTGTGCAATGTTATTTGTAAACAAAAATTAAAACTCAGGTTGCAAAAGTACATGCTACATATATATGCATAGATACAAAAACATACATATACATAAAGTAATATGACATTGTTTAAATATGTCAGACACACACTTAAATAAGTCTTATTCTCTTCAAAGTAGTTATCTCTCAAGGCTTGGAATTAGTAATGTTGCCCTTAGAAGATATTTGGAGCTCCTCTTTTGAACCTACCTTCTGCCAAATTCTTGTATAATCTCAAGGAGGGTATTATTTTTGTTCTTTTAAGTTAAAAGGTTTTTGAACCTATAATAATGCTTTTTATTTCACAGGATCCCAGCTCCAGGGTGGGAAGGGATGTCAGAGGACATCTAATCCAAACTCCTCCTTTTATAGATGAGGAGAATGAGGTCCAGCGGGGTTCAGAGGGTTGCTCCTACGTCACAGTTAACAGGTATAAAAAGTTGGCTTTGAACCTAGTTCTCTGGCTCCTTTCTGCACTATACTGCCTCCTAAACGTACAGCAGTTCATACCTTTCAAAATGCTTTAACATACATTATCTTGTTTGATCCTTACAACAGCTATCTGAGGTAGGCAGCATGTATGCCCATTTATTTATGCCCATTTTATAGACGAGTGAACTGGTGCTTGGAGATTCAGCGATTTGCCAATGGTCACATACTTAGTGATGGAGATCAGAACTGAGCTCTCCAGAATACTAGTCCAGACCACAAACTTCCTCGCCCACCACTAAAATACAAATGTGTGCACACAGAAACACACACACACACACACACACAATCATACACATAATTCATGAAAATTATCTGCTTTTTAAAAAGACAAAATCTTCTAAAAACTCAATACAATATTAAGTCAAAGAAAGAGTAGATATTTTTCTCTGTTATCTTTGATAACCTGTTTTATGTTAATTATGATTTGAAAAATTGACTATTTGGAGTTGGAAAAACACTGGATTATATTCTGAATTATGCATTTCCTGAATTTAAATGGCATTCCTAAGAAGTCCAAAGGTGGTATTGGTGAATAACCTATTTCCCGTTGATTTATTCTTATTGACCAAAGAAAATGGCTTTCTCAGAAAAAAAATGCTATCATCAGTCTTTTGCTCAATTATTTAATACTCATGATCTTCTTTATACTACAATTTACCTAATTCCAGCAGCCACTTGATACGGTGTTGTTTTCCAAGACTCCCCTTCAACTATTTTTCCATCAATCAGCATTATTTTGATCAATTTGCTCTCGTTTGCTGCTCTATGGGCAAGCAAGGTGTCATGCTCTCTCTTCAATGTTTCATAAAGCGTCAGTCTATCTTCTATGAAGTCTGGCCCACTACATAACTGTAAATCATTACAAGACAATGACATAAACACAGAGCCAACCTTACTTCTTACTGCTTCCACATGTGGACCCTCAGCTATCATCAAGCCTAGCTCTTTCCTGCCCCTATTTTCCCATTTTCCATGCATATGCCAATGCTGTTTCGTCACTTGGACTCTCTACCTCCTCTCTACCTGTCCAGATCCTATTTATCTTTAAATAGCACAGTTCAAATTCTACCTTTTCCATAAACTCCTCCATGACAATTACAGACCATTAATCTCTCTTTCCTCATTTACTTAACATTACACAAATTAGCACTTGATTAGATATAGAGTGTCCCAAAAGTCTGAGTGCAGTTTTATGCTATTAAAGCTTACAATTGCACCAAGATTTGTGATAGTACATCCTATGCTATCTTGTACTGTTCTTAAATTGGCCTGTTTATGTTTGCCTTAGAATTCAGATTGTAATTCCTCAGGACCAAGAACAGTGTTCTTCTTTTTGTCTTCGTATACTGGGCACCTAGCACGATGTGTTGCAAATAGTAAGCACATGATAAATGCTTCTTAGATGAGATGGTCGCATAAAGCTCAATAAATATTAGTTAATTGGCTGATTTATATAAAGGAGGAACAACTATTTCAACATGAGACAACTACTTATGTAAGTTTCAAGTATTGACCCAATAACTGAATGTTTATCCCCAAAAGACCTGCCTAAGTTAGGAAAGTTATCTCACAAAAGAGCTGGCCTCCAGGTGAACTTTTCAAACATAGAACTTCACCAAACTTCAGAAGAGGTGTCCTCTACCTTGGTGAAAGGTATACCCACACAGAAGAAATCATAGATCTTTGAAGCAAGTTATAACTGATAGCCTACTGCATTTAGAATATATAAAAATGTATCTAAGTTCTGCATAGTTTCACATAACCATATCATTATAAATTATTTAATTTAAGGTACCTAGATAAATCATACTTTAACTCAAAATATTAAAAATCAGAGGTAGCCCTTTCTAGTATAATCTTATTAAGAATTACTTACCTCACTCTTCAGGCCATTTACAATTTCATTTTCTTTTTTCTTCTCCTTTTTATTTTTATTTTGAACATCTTTTTGGTTTGTGGTGGAAGGAAGCTAAAAGACAGAATGTTAAAAACCACTCATACAGATGACAAAAAGCAGGACAAGACAAGGTAATTGAGAGACCCGAGAAAAGACAATGAATGTAAAATACTGCAGAAATATAAGCTATTTATTTCTTTATTATTACTGGTAGTTCCTGGGGGTGGTGCCAAGCAAGAATTCCATGCTCTAGAAATACAAAGTTCATATCTCTGCCACTTGTGCTGAACCTTCTTCAACTGACTGGCTGAGAAAGAGTAGCCTAACCATCAATCCTTACTTCATCACAGATTTGATACATATACCTTAGTTCAAACGATATAAATTTCTTTGGAGTTTTGGGATTTTTCATCCTTGGAAAAATAACCACTCAGGTCATTGGAAAATAGTTATAAAGCTGCCCCTTAGAAACACTGAATATTCTTCATCTATGATGATACTCATAGGCTGCCCTCATACTTGATGGAATGCCTTTGGAAGGGCATTCCATACAGGCAGCTCTCAACTAACAAATAGGTTGTTTAATAAAATGGTTATTTGAAAATCTTCTTCCTCTACCTTGCCCCTTACCTGTGCTGCAATGGGAGTGAGGACTTCTTCAGCCCTTAATCATTGCTGGTGGCTCCTATGGCCTCAGTTGGGCCTAGGGTAGAACAGGAGGAAAAGAGACTGAGGCCTGTAGGGGCTAAGAAGTAAGAATCATGGAGTTTGAGGATTTTATCTTAGGGTAGCCAGCAGAGAAACCACTGGAACATTTAGATCAACCAAATAATCTACTGAATGATGAATAAGAGACACTTTGGCATTCTTCAGGCAAAAAAACCTTATGTTTTTCCTGCTACAGAAAATTTCTATGAAGAGATTGGGAGAAGTGGCAAATGATACAATAAACCAAAAACAGAGCCTACTCTTGTTAGAGACCAGTCTACTGGTTCCTACTCTGATTCAATAACAACCCAATTTCACAGACATTTATTAAGCACGGAGTATCTCTAAGGCATTATGCTAGGCACCAGGGATGCAAAGTCAGAGAAGAAACAGTCCCTACACCCAAGGAATTTACATTCTACTAAAGGGAGGCAACATATATGCAGAAAGTAAATAAAAGCAATCAGTGGAGGGCAGAGCACTGATATGAAAACTTTGTAAAGGTAGTATCTGAGGCTGAGCCTTGAAGGAAGGTGATGGTTTTAAGAGGTAGACAGCAAGAGAAAGTACATTCTAGGAAAGTGGGATGCACTCAAATGCATGCTGAGTTCAAAGGACCACCAACAGTCCAGTGTGGCTGGAATATAGAGCGCATGATGGGGAAAAATGTAAAATAAAGCTGGAAAGGCGGATTGGAGCCAGATTATGGATGGCCTTAAATGACAGGTTATGGAGTTTGTATCTTATTTCAGAGGCAACTAACTGGGAGCTATAAAGGCTTTTCAGCAGAGGAGCTACATGGTCAAACCTGTCTCTCAAAAAGATTATTTTGGCAGCTGTGCAGAGAATGAATAAGTCCAGAAACTGGTAGACTAATTCACAGGCAAGTACAATAGTCCAGATGGAAGACAATAAGGGTCTGAATTAGGGTGATAGCCCAGTGAGTAAAGAGGAGTCAGATGTAAAATACGTTATAGAGAATTGACAAGACTTGGCAACTAATGGAATATGGAGGATGAGACAGAAGGAAAGGTTAAGGATGACTCCGAAATTATGAATCTGGGTGACTAGGGAGATGATAGACAATAAGTTCTGTTTTGGACATGTTGAATTTTACGTCTATGGGCAAGGAGAGATATCCAGGAAGCAACTGGTGAAACCAGAAAAAGAAAGAATAAACTATGTTGTACAAATTATATTGCAACTATATTGGAGCAAATTTAGCTCCCTTTCATTATTGCCAGCAACCCAAAGTGGATGTGGATGCTCATGAAACCCCCCCAAAGATCTGAGATGACATCTAGCCCATAGTACAATTGTATCAGTGACAAAGTAAGTTGTAATGGTGGCCATGCAGACTCTCTAGACAGATCTAAAAGTGCTCCCTGTTCTTATAAAATATTTATTTCAGGAGTTGATTTACACATACAAATACAGACACAGCTAGATGGCACAGTATAGAGTGCTAGGCCTGGAGTCAAGATGATCTGAGTTCAAATCTAGCCTCAGACACTTACTAGCTGGATGACCCTGGGCAAGTCACTTAATCCTATTTGCCTCAGTTTCCTCATCTGTAAAATGAGCTGGAGAAGGCAATGGCAAACCATTGCAGTATCTCTGCCAAGAAACTCCAAATGGGGTCATGAAGAGTCAGACACGACTGAAACAACTGAACAATGACAACATACAAGTATGTGTGCATATATATGTAAACACACACATCTGTTTACACTTCACACAGCCTAAGAACAGAGGGTTTTATGTCATGGAGTCCATATCTGTAAAGTGCTTAGCATAGTGCCTGGCACATAGCAGGCACCTAATAAATGTTTGTTTCCTTCCTTCCTTTGTCAGTCTGGCGAAGACTATGAATCTGTTCAATGTACAAAATAAAATACATAGGAATACAAACACATAGGAAATCAATTATATTGAAATAAAGTTATCAACATATTTTTCAAAAACAAGTTCACAGACCCCAGGTAAACAATCTCTGCCCTAAATGGTAGGTAAGAATAATAGGACCAGCCCATGTTTCCTCTGGGACAAAATAAATTCTTCAGCCTGGCATTTATATCCCTGTACAATGTGGCTTCTACTCATCTTGCCAGACTTTATGTCACACACTGTAAATTCCCAACAAAATGGTCTACAAGACATTCCCCAGGGTGTGTCATGCCACCTGTCTCCAAGCCTTTGCGGTTTGGTTCTTATCCTACAAGTGAGAAGGGGGTCACTAAAGCCTCCTGAGCAGAATAGAGCTTTAGGAACATCAATTCTGCAGCTGTATAAAATGGATTAGAAGGGGGACAAATTTGAGGTAGAGAGATGAGTTTAGAAGGCCACTGTAATAGTCCAGGTGAAAAGTTCTGAGGTCCTGCACATGACAGGAGATGGGGACAGATAGCAAAAATGCTGTGGAAGTAGAATTAACCAGACTTAATGACTGACTAGATGGATGGGGAGTGAGGAAGAGTACAGAGTTGAGGATGGCTCATATGTTACATAGGTAACTGGAAGAATGGTGGTACCCTCAACAAAAAGAAGTTTCCCCAGGATGTGTCATGCCATCTGTCAGCATTAGGGGGAGGGGGAGAAGGGAAGAGAAGGATGAGTTTGAGGGCCAAATGTTTTCTTTTGAATGTGTTTAGTTTGGGATCAATCAACAAGAATTTACTAAGTGCCAACTAATGAGACACATTTCCCTCAAGGGGCTCACAGTTTAATGTAAGGTGTCTATCCAGGTAATGTGTCCATCCTCCAGTGCCTGCATCGGGTCCCTGCCTGAGAAGGATCGGACCGAAAGGAGAACCAGGAGAGCTCAGGGAGGAGGGTGGGGACAGCTTCCTTTTCGCTTCTGTATCCCCAGGGCCCAGCTTTGTGCTTGCTCCGGGCACAACAAGCACTCAATCCACGTGGGTTGGGCTGAACTCAGGGCCCTCATCCTCAATAGTGATCGGAGTAACGGCATTGCTGCCGTTGTTACTACTTGCACCGTTTGGGCCTAACTGGAAGAAGAGGGAACTCAGAGAAGGCAGGGAAGAAATTACAGAAGAGGGGGTACTTCCGTAGGATCATTACCCAGTTATCTGCCCACTCGCGCCCGCCCCCGCCCCAGTCTCGGGGCATCCCCTAGATCAGCCCGCTGCAGGAACGCGGAGTTCCGTGGTCAAGGTCAAGGCCCAGGAGCGCCCCTGCCCCGGGCCCGCGCTCCCCCGCCCCTGCCCAGGCCTCGGCTTCGCGTTACCTGGGCTCCTGCCGCCCCTTGGGGCTGCTCGGGCTGCCGGCCCAGCTCGGCCTTCAGGCTGCGCCGCAGGTGCTGGAGCCGGTAGCGCAGCTTCTCGTTCTCGCCTCGCAGGCGCTCGAGCTCCGGGCTGGGGCTGCAGGCCCAGCGTGGCCAAGGCCAGGGCCCCGGCCCCGTCTCGGGCCCGGGCTGCGGCTGCTGCTGCTCCTTTAGGAGCCCGATCTCCGCAGTCAGCCAGCAGATGTCCTGCTCCTGCCGCGCCAGGCGAGAGGCCACCGCGTCGGCCGCCATGATGCCGATGCCGCCGCCGCCCCGCGGGCCGCAGGGGGTGGGGCTGGGAGGGAGCGCAGGTGGGGCGGCGCGCGGAGAGCCGAGCCGCGGGAAGCCGGAGCGCCGTCCCGACGCCGCGCTGGCGGGACGCCCGGGGCCGTACAAGCCCGGGACTTAGAGCCGGACCTTAGAGGTCCGCTAGGACCGAGGGCGTATTTTACAGACGAGGAAAGTGAGGCAAGGATGCTCCAGTGACTCGGGGGCCCTTTCAGCTTTAAACGCCATCATTATCACCATTAAACAGTCATCGTTTTTTCCCTCCCAGCCATCTTCCCCTGTTGACCTCTTTCCCAAAAAGAGATCGCCATTTTTCCAGTCACCAAAGGTTGGACTAACCAGTCCGTCGGTTTGTCCGCAGAGCCCAGGGTGCAAGAGCTGCTGGTTCTCCCCTCGGCAGTGCCTCTTCCCTTCCCCTCAGCAGAGCAAAGGATCTGCTTGCCTCCCCTTTCCCTCCCATCCGCTTTATCAGACACCGGGCTGTATCTTCCTGAGGCAATGCCTCCCCCCAGCCATTCTCCCTGTTCAGATACTTCCATTGGCGTCGCCTTGGCCACAGGACCAACCTGGACAGGACAACCTGCCTCCATGCCCTGGTCCAGTCTGACCTCCCCCCCGTAATGCTCCTCAACACATATCCTTAGCTCCCATCAGTGTCCCTTGAAAACTCTGCTCATTCTTGCCCTTGCAACTTTTTTTATGCGCTAAATCCTGCGTGGAATATTCTCCTCTCCTCTCCCTTCTCCATTCTAAATTTTACAGCTCCTTTAAGACTCAACCATGAAAGCGGGGAAGACAGTTCCAGTTACTGAATATTTACAGTGTGCAAAGCATTGTGCTAAGTAGTTTAAGACAGGAAGCTATCGCATAAGTAAAATAAACACTCCTGTCCCCCAGGGTAAGTAGACGGGTAGATCTGGGGAATGCTGCAGACGCGGCTTGCCTAAATTTGAGCAGAACTTTTGACAAAGTGTCACATGTTATACTTGTGGACCAAATGGATTGAAAGGGAGTAGATAAAAGCACAGTTAGGTGGATTCAGACTGGTTGAATGATTAGATTCAAAAAGTAATCATTAATGAGGCAGTGTTATTTTAGAGGAAGGTCTCTAGTGGAGTGAATTAGGAATCTTTCCTTGGGCATATTGTGTTCGACATTTTTATTAATCAATCAACAAACATGTAGCACTTTGCTAGCATGTGCCATGGACATATAGTTTACATTCTATTGTGGAAGACAAGTACTTATGGGTATACAGAAATACAAAGAGAATAGACAAGCAGGCAACAGACCTTTATTGAATGCTTACTATGTGCCAGCCATTGCAGTGAGAGCTGAGGATACAAATACAAGCAAAAAGAAATAGTGTCAGCCCTTAAGGAGCTTAATAGAAGAAGATAACATACGAAAGGGAGCTGAAAATGGGGGGTAAAGGGTGGGGGGAGCTATAGGGACAATGTGAAGTCCAGAAAGACAAACATAGTTGGGAAGGGGATAATGTTAGACTTCCAGGTTCTTTCCACAAAATGGTGACCCTAGGAGAAATTCACCAATAGGAGAATGGGACCAGCATGGTAAAGGGATGTTTCAGAGTGAAGAGGCCCCCGGCACCAGAGGGCAATTCCAAGGGAAGACAGCAGCTAAAGTCCAGAAAATCAGAAGCATAGCTGGGAGGGGAATGAAAGTTGGCAGACCTGGGCCCTTCCCCAAAATGGCTGTGGAGGGAGTGCTAGCAGTTGGTGGGATCAGAAAAGGATTCCTGTAGGTGGTGCTTGACTGCATTTTGATAGAGAAGAGAGATCATATGAGCCGTAGGGGAGGGGGGAGTGCATTCCAAGCATGGAGAATGTCCAGGAGAAAGGCATGAAGATGGGAAGATGGAGTGTTGCGTGTGAGGAGCAGAGAGAGAGCCAGTTTGGCTGGACTGAAGAGTGTGTGTGGGGGGGGGGGGCGCGTAATGTTCATTGAAGCTGTAAAGATAGGCTGCAGACAGATTGTGAAAGGTTTTAAAAGCTAAATAAAGAAGTTTATATTTCATCCTAAAGGCTATAATGAGCTACTGTAGTTAGACTGAGTAGCAGCCTGACATAGTCAGATCTGCACTTTAAGAAAAATCACTTTGGCAACAGTAGGAAGGCTGGACTGGAGTGGTAAGAGACCTGAGGCAGGGAAACCAATTAGAAAGTTATTGCAGAAGCCTAGGTAAGAGGTGATAAGGGCCTGAACTAAGGTGATAGCTGTATGAGTAGAGAGAAGCATTCAGATGCAAGAGAAGTTTGGAAATAGAGCCAAGACTTGCCAACTGATTAGTTATGTGGAGCAAGAGTGAGCAATTCAGGATAATGCTAAAAATTCAAACCTGAGACACTGGAATGATGTTAGGGTTTTAATTAAAATTAGAAAATTTGGAAGAGGGGAGAATTTGAGGGGAAAATATAGTTCATTTTTGGACATATTATCTCTGGGACATGAATGAACAAGTGAATTAATGAATGAAAAAAGCATTTATTAATTGATTCCTATGTACAAACACCATGCTAAGTGCTGGGGATACAAATAGTCCCTGCTTTCAAGGAGCTCACATTTTAATGGGGGAGACAAATACATATGAAAGGTCAAATGGAAAGATTCCATGGTCATTAGGGGTATAGCAGCAAAGTAGATAGTAATACTCCTTTAATGTAAACAAAGTCATATTACTTTCTGATTGGACAGGGCCAAGGATTTTGATGGTCAGAACTTTTTTTTTTTTTTTTTTGGTCTTTGGTAACTGTGGCTATAGCACCAACACATCCAGTTTGAAATTGGTATGAAATTGAAATTCTAGAGAGACTAAGACTAAATATCTAAACTTGAGTCATCTGAATAGAGATCATAGTTAAACCTGTGGAGCTGATAAGGTTACCAAGAAAGAGCTTATGGGGGAGGAGGTGGCCTAGGACAGTAACCTGGGATACACTCCAGGATGTACTAGAGCCAGTTCAAACTGACTTATGAGAGTTGATTGTTAAATTTTCAATGTGAACATTTACACTTCGGAATTTGGCAAATGCCACAAATCAGGGTTTGATTTATTGATTCAGGGTATTGATATTATTGTTGTCTAAACTTTAAGGAAGTGAAAGAGAAAATGTTAATAATTCAGATTAAATTTTAAATTGTGTCTTGCATATACATATGTATACATATACTACACACACACACACACATACACACACACATGTAGGGTGATGGGGGGAAGCTGGTTGTTAAATGTTTACCAGCACACTTCTGGATATAACCACAGACATGAATATAACCACAGTAAGGAGAATCAGGAGACTGCAGTGTCGCAAAATGCCACAGAGCAGAGAGCATCCAGGAAGAGAGGGTGATCAAGAAACTCAGGTACTACACCCTCACTGCCACCTCCATCTTGGCTCCTCTGCCATCTTGTGTGTCTATGTTCTGTCTATTTTTGCAAGTGTCTAAGAGCCATCACTAGCCCAAACTGCAGTGGGCAGGTAATACCCATGAATCCTCTGCAGCTCAACTAGGAGAATTCCAATAATGAAACTCCTTAGGTCAAATGTCCCTTCAGAGTCTAGTAGCATAGTAACGTAAGCCAGAACTCCTTGGCCTCCCTATGTCAACTCTAACACAACACTAAACAAAGGGACCTGTTCTGAATTTCTCCCTAGTGTTACAGTTCCTGTCAACCTTTAGTCTCAAGGAAACTTTCGTAATAATATGAATCCACAACCCTTCTGTTAGAAGATGTCCATTCTCACTAGCAGGTTGAGATAGGAGAATGGCAGAATCTTGTAGCATTTATGCTTGGCCCTCTTTCCCAGAGCCAGACTGCTCCACCTGTCCTTCAAGGTTCTAGGACACCCTGAGGAGTTTGTGGTCTCTTCTCTGTTACCACCAACTTGAACCCTTTCCAGCTAAGTTCCTCCCACTATTTAGTGTCATTTACTAGTGCCCTAGTTCCATTTAATCACTTAACATAAATTAGCTTTTACAAAGAGATATTTACTTCAAAGATATAGCCAGAAATAGCATGTACAGTCCATAGGTTCCCAAAGTGGGCCATACTGCCCCCTGGGGGGTGCTGTAATTATGGGGGGGGCAGTAGTAGCCTTGGGTGCAATTGTGGGGTGTTGAATAAAAATAAGGGGGCAGTGGAAGCATAAGGAAAGATAAGAATATTTTGAAAAACCATTCAATGTTTCATTTGTTGTGTAACAGTCATAGTTATTATATTATTTTCCAAATAAACACAAGTTTTATTCAAGTTATAACCAATCAGTGGTCAAGTTCTCCAGCAGGTCTTAATAAGCAAGTGTTGGCAAGCAAGCACATTGTCAGGTGTCCAGCATGCATCGGCAGGAATATGTGCATGTAATAACTTGTTTACAATATGATACTATACAGTTACATATCACAATATTGCATCATCAAAATTTCAATGCTGGCAAATACCCACAAATTTACAATAAATTATTAAATTTAAGATACATAATTTCAAAAAAATTACATTTTTTAAATGATGCAAATTTTTAAAAGACCATTAAAGGTTTAAAGAAAGTAGATGTGAGGGAGTGGCACTGAGTAATTTTTTTAAAGGGGGCACTAGGCCAAATAAGTTTGGAAACTCCCCACATCAGGAAGTGCTCTCCTCTATTCCACCTCGTCGTTTAGGGGATAGTCTCAAAACTTAGTTTCATTCTTACATTGCATTAGTCCCACCAAATTGATGTCCTGATTCGGCCTTAACGCTGGGTGAGTCCTAGTCTCAGCTGCCTCTGAACTGGGGTCTTAAAGATCACTCCTGGCTCCTGAGGGCATCAATGCTGCACTGGCTCTAGAACACCAGAGTATCCTCCTGACCTTTCAAAGTCACAAGGTCAGAGACTCCAATCTCCTTTGCCTAAAAGGGAAAAGAACAAATGCAGAGACCAGGGACCTAGGCTTGTTTCTCAGGACCACATGGCCTC